GGCGAGTGGGGGACTTACGACCCTCCCTTGCCCCAAGATAGCCACTAAAGTCTCCCGGCCGGGCTACTCGGCGACGAAAATCACCTCTCGAGTCCAGGTCGGGGAAGGTTCCGAATCAATTCGAGGTGTTGAGTTGGTACGTAGGTTGTAAGACCCCGACCGTTAATCAGCCCCTTGCGATAAAAGTGGCATGATAACCTGAATGGCACATACTCAGGCTGCGAGTTTTGCCCAAAACGGGCAGGGATCAAATTCACATTAGAGGGTTATGCTGTTCTCTAGCCCTGGCGATAGCCGATTCTTGCCGGTCTGGCCAGACGAGAACGAGGATTCCACGGCTCTCGTCAGAATGACGCTTGCTCCTCGTACGATCTTTAAGAAATATACTAACCAAAGGAATTCACTATGTCTACTGCCTTACATAACAAATTTGCGGGCAGGGCCCGCAAGTTGATTGCCGTTAAGACTTACGCGAGGATTCCGATAATCTACCATAAGGGACTTTGAGTATTATTGCTGTCACTGCTGAGGTGCGATTGGTGCGCCCCCAAGGCCTCCAGGGATCAGCAATGCATTGCGTGTTGTAAAAGGAGGGATGTTGCTTGGCTGCTTGGCTGCATCAGGGGGGGCAGATGTATACTCAGCTCCAGAAAAAGCAAAAACGGTACGTATTGTGATCATCGAGAAGGAGGAGTCTCAGGCTGTCACCGCACGCTACCTGTTGGGTCGTATGCAAGCCACTCCTTATTCCTTGTTCTGTCTTATCCCCCCCTCGATCAATGAGAAAACAAAGTTAATGGCAACTTAGCAGTTTGCTGCGCTGATCACTCTGACTCCGGTTCTGTTAGGGTGTAGAAGAGCATCGTTAGGTCTAGATGTTCAATAAACATTTCATCAATTGCAAGGCTTACCCAATACCATCCCCTAGGTCTCGTTGTTGGGCATCTACCGTAGGATTCATTATACCCCTACAGTAGACTAGTAGGGAAAATGCTCAGAGAGAACCAACGGTGCAGAACCTGAGCTAGCAAGACAACCAACAGCAGCTGCTAGCAAGGCAGACCCGCAGAATCTCCAACCCCTACAATCACTTCCTTGTCAGCAGCCTGATTATGGCTTTCCTCCAGGGGAGGCAACATTTCCACATCTGTGGAGAGATCAGAAGAGAATTGCCACGTTATATCTCCTCGATCACCCGGTCGCTCTCTCGTATGCCGTCTCACCAGTAAAGTGAACCGGTTACGATCAGCGACAAGCCACAAAGGGATATCAGATTATCCTGCTCCAAAACAATTCCAGTCCAATTGAGCAAACCTTCAACCATGGCCTCTGACAGCGTTCCTATCTCAGTAGCCCTGCAGCCGAACGACATCGATGCCGTTCCCAACCTGATTAAGGAGCTCCAAGCAGGTCTTGACAGCTTAGCCAACGGAGGAGATGCTGCCCGTCATGAAATGCTCCTTAAAGCAAGGACATTGACCCAGGCTCTCGAGGCCCCTCGTGAGACTATGGTCAAACACTGCTGGGCCCAGGTACGATAGCTTCTAGTGGCAACCACCCCTTTCATGACATAAATTGACCTTTGGGCTGATTTAGACCGGTGCTCTTGCTGGCCTCAACTTTGGTGTTGACTCCGGACTATGGAAGCTCATGGCAAAGAACGGCGATAAGCCCCAGAAGGTGGATGATCTGGCCTCTACCCTTGGAGTCGACCGTGTTCTGTTAGGTGAGTACCGTCAGGCCCGATTGAATTACACTCATGTGAAAGTATACACAAATCACATGAGCGATACATCATGCCGGTGTTAACATGATCCAAGCTCGCCTGATGCGCCACTTGGGCGCCATGGGTTACCTCAAGGAGGTTGGAGTGAACGAGTACCAGCCCACCAACTTCACAAAGTCAATGAGTATCCCCATCATCGGCGACGGTTACTTGGCCATGTAAGTCTTCAGTTGTCACTATCAAATTCCTTGTATTGAAACTTATGCGTAACCAGGACCTCTTGCACTGGAGCAGGTCCTCTTCGCTTCCATGAGTACTCGCGAAAGAGAGGCTTCAAGAACCCCGAGGATGCCAAAGATACGGCGTTGATGTATGCCTTCAATATGGACAAGGACATGTTCTCGTGGCAACAGTCCCTGGGGTATGGGCCTCACTTCAATAACCACATGGGTGGCTACCGCCAGGGCCGCCCCCCGTGGATGGGTCCTGGGTTTTACCCTGTCAAGGAGAACCTTATCAACGGTGCTGACACAAGCCCTGATGCTCCATTCATTGTCGATATTGGAGGAAGCATTGGCCACGATCTTGTTTCTTTCAAGCAGCACCACCCTGATCATCCAGGCAAGCTGGTACTGGAGGATCTTCCCGTCGTCATCGGCCAAATCACAGACCTGGACTCTGAGATTGAGCGTGTGAGCTATGACTTCCATACTGAGCAACCGAAGAAAGGTAATGATACGCTTCCGTTCACGTTTATATCTAAAAAGAGTCACACCCTTGCTAATACAAAATTCAGGTGCTCGTGCTTATTACATGCACTCCGTTCTCCACGACTGGCCCGACAGTGTCTGCAAGGACATTCTATCCAACATCAAGGCCGCCATGAAGCCAGGTTACAGCAAGCTGCTGATCAATGAGAACGTCATCCCCGACACTGGTGCATGGTGGGAGACTTCAGCCCTGGACATGGTAATGCTCACCCTCTTCTGCTCCAAGGAGCGTACTGAGGCCGACTGGTATAACTTACTAGAGACCATGGCTGGCCTGAAGATTGTGAAGATCTGGAACGCTGGGAAGGGTGTTGAAAGTCTGATTGAGGTTGAGCTTCCTTGAAGCACTTGTATTAAGCAGATACCTAGAACATAGTATTTGAGCGTAAAAATGATACGAGGCACAGGCTCGGTCGATTTTTCGATGATTCAATGATTCAATGATAGTTTGGCTTAGGTGTGATGACAAAGGCAGTGATGTGCGAGACAGGTAGATTGGATCTTCAACTGGCTTGACTCAAGATCCGCCTGACTGAAGCAATACAGAAACCTTTGCTTTGGCCTAAAGTTTTGGTTGGCTTGTGAATTGCGCAACTGAGAGCTGGGTTTAGCAGGGTTCCGCTTGATGAGAAGTTTCAGCTTTTTTTTTTCTCATAGCCACGCTTCAGCTTCCTTTGTGCCCTTGTACTAGGAGTCCACTGGTTCATGTCTCAGAAGCAGGCTCCGTGTCGGCCCCGACACAATGGCCTACCTCTTCACCAACGCACCAGAACAACTAACCGCAATGTTTAGCTACAAAAACAGCTCAATATAGTTCAAAAGCAAGCCATGATAAGAAACTAAGTTAGGCTAAATGACACATGCCTTCTCAAGTACTCAACCAAGAATCGCGTTCTTCGTGATAAGGTTCTGGCTGTCTTACCCGCGTGTGAAGAGAGCTCATTTCATTCGAGCATCTCGTCACAAGGGGTGTGAGGAGTCCGCAATCAGACGCACCGAGAAAACAATGTCGCCTATTAGAAGTCATAAGCCTCTAGGTGAGCCCTGATGTAGATCTATACGGGCAAGGTCCCTCGGTACCAGTCTAAGCTACATCGCTTCTTGATGCGACTCAAGCCGCGAACGGCCGCCTGTCATCTCAATTATGCCAATGATAACTCCAATCAAGTCTGTCGTCGTCATTTGCATAGTATAAGCCTTTATTATTTAATTTGTTGTCGAAACTTCCGCCGACAGCGGGCATTGTACCGTCTGCATCTTCCGGCAAAGACATCCCGCTTAGCCTAGAAATACAAAGTAAGAACCTCTGGCCAGAGCAAAAGAAGCAGATACTTTGCTTGATCGGCGTATGCCACAGCCCTACTATACAGATAGAGGGCGTAGACTTATAGAATATCGCGGGACCTTTTATCCTAATTTGCATCCTCTACAGCTCGCGTCGAAGCTCTGTCGGCTGAAGCTCAATGCCTGGTTGCTCATCCCTTTGTCTCCCGTCGAGACGCGCGATGATCGTCGTGCGCGTCAACTAGCAATCATGTATAGCGGTAGCTAACTCGTAGAGGCTGACTAACGCGTCTGTTGTTGATAAGAGAGACTGCTACGAACCTCATCGTCGCCTTCTATCAAGCTGAGCGATCGTTACGGGCCAGAAACTCTCTCCCTTCCGTCAAGACACGTGATCATACGCGTTATCAAGACGCGTCATCGCGACAGACGCGCGTGCCTCATCCGAGGGATTGCGGTATCCACGCATTTCTTTATCCCACCTACCCTATACTCAGATTACTGAGACCATGTTGGGACGGCCCCAATAATGAATCTCAACGAAGGAAATATCATATTCATCAGTCGAACCCAATTTATCTGAAGCCTGAAATTGAATTGTTCGATCGCCGAAGGCCTAGAACTGGACTATTGGTGATGATGTTGTTAATCAGAAAGGACATGCATTTTCCTAGAAAAGCATTGTTGCTCAACAGCATGCAAATTATCTCCAGCCAATGAGAAGATGGAATGAGATGTATTGAAACTTTACCCGAAGATCTACCAGCCAACCACAGCCAATTGCTGCGAGCCGGGCCAATTGTCCGAGGAATAGCCGAAGCCCGCAGTTGATCAATGTGGCCAATGAGAAGCTAGAAACTTTAAATTCTGATCAACATTCTGATGGGCTGGAACCATAGATCCCTAATTTCTGATTGGCCAACTGTTCGAAGATTGACCAATGATACTTTCTCACTCAGCCGTTGAATACGGTAGCCAATACAGTCTCAGTAATGTCCAGTTGCCGGATTCTTCTACAGGGATAAATAATCATAGCGACTGCGATTGGATTTAAGTCAAATTCGATTTTCGTTACTTAAAGGCACATTATCAACCAATTCTCTTCAGACATCTTGTAATAAAGAGCCAGTAGCAGTTTGATTCGATAAGAGAACTCATTCGCATGTGCCAACTGCTTTTGAGGTATGTATAGTTGTCATTCATCTACTTCATTCTTTGCTTCAGAGTTCGTCCGACTGAATCTGAGCTGCGGGGATAGAGATTGGCTCCCAGTCAAAGAACAACGTAAAGGCCACGCTACTTCCAAGCAGAGCAGTTGCTAATTCGCGACCATAACTATGTATCATCGAGCGGACCTCCTCTGGGTCAATATTCTCACCATAACTGTGTTCCGTTACATTAACGACGAGCTCCTTCAATTGTGGGAATCTCTGGATATCCGCACTGAGCTTCTCTAAATCTCCCCATATAGACGTATCTTGACATACGCGGAGTTTTAGAGTGTGTAAATTTGGGGGGATATTATCAACGAGGCAAGATGGGGCTGCTTCTTTTTCGTGATGATGTATGCAAATGGAGGTGTCGTCAAGAAGGAGTGTTTCCAGCTTTGAGAAAGCACGTAAAGATCCCTTTTGTAATACATGACTTGGCAGAGCTACGTAGGAGTGAGCAGTAAAGTCGATGTTAAGTGAAGTAAGTGAAGACTGCACTGGCTGAAGGCAGGCCACAAACCCAGGAGCTGAAAGGAGTTGGTTAATGCCCTCGGATTCCGCCCAAGATGCGCCTAATGAATATTCAAAACGCTGGAGATCCGGGGCGTGAGCAATAATATCTCTTAGAAAGGTATGAGAGGCCGGTTCCTCTTGTAGGAAACACCTATCCATTTCAACGACACGAAGCGGTCTTTTCACAGAGTCTTGAAACACTCGCCCGCTGAAAGGACTAAAGCATCCTAACAGCTCGAAGTGCTCCAATTTTGGCGAGATGTTCAAGAAAGACGTAATGGCACGGTTGTCGGCGTTGAATCCCCAAGCGCCATCAAAGATTAGATGTCTAAGATGGACCGAAGCCGCTGCAGATTTTAGCTGATCGTAGCGCTCTTGGAGATAGATGAAGTGCGGATCTTCTGCGCGTATCTGGTATTCCTCCAATCTGATTTCTAGTGACTCAAGATTTGGCACCATAGCCACCAGTACTTCGAAGCAAAGCTCTTCAGCACTCATGTCGACCTCCTCAGCGTCTTCAAAGTATGGATCATCTTCTCGCTCCATACCCAGTCGCCGAGCAACGGATTTGATGAGCTCGACCTCTTCTTCTTCCAGAATATCCCATCCACAAGAGGTATTCGGATCTCGGCAAATCTGTTTAACCTGCCTGGCGAGATCTGGCCGTTCTTCGAGTGTCCGGACCAACTTGGGAAATTTCTCAACGCCAGGCAGATAAGGAAGGAAATGGTAGATCAGAGGTTGCGCCAAATCGCGGAATGTACTGCACGTTCTGCTGAGTGCAACCAAAGCTTCCCGATTCTTTTTGTTACATTCGCCGATTTTATGAATAGGTATTTTTGTGTCCGGGCGGCAGTGCAGGCACAGATAGCTGCATACCATACCGAGGACCTCGACAGGAAATTCTGATAGCCCTCGTGGGGTTCTAGTTAGGGCGTCGTAAGCCATCGAGCAAAGGGTGTGACGCAGATGAATTTGTTACAAATAGGAAGACGAAGGTGTATTTTTCTGAAACAAGAAAACCCATTTTGATTTGTGGCCTGCTCAAGTCAGCTGATCTTCCGCGAACCATGTCAAGCTTATTCATCTTTGCTGGAGAAGGAATCTTCCCCTGTTGCTGGTGAGATAGTAATGATTGAAACATATGTGCTATGGGCATACCCCGGCCAGCAGTAGAACCTTATCGGCAATCAAGTTGGCGACAATTCAGTGTAATTGTGGTAGAAAAGTTCGGTTAATAACATTCAAGCTTTAGGAAATCACCAAATCCTGCATATTGAAACTGGCGCTATTTACTGCCTCACCATCCATAAAGCCATGGATGTAGCAATCCCCGATTACCTTGTAGTGTGGCTTCTCATCTTTGACGCTGTTGGCGAGATGTATCGGTCGTAATATAATCGGAACTGCTGATCCTGGTAAGACGAAGATCTCATCCTGCTCCCCAATGTCTCTACTCGCGATACCCAGATAGCCCTCTTTTGTTACAAAAACCTTATTCTTCCTCAGAGTATCGAGCAAATGCTCGTAAATGGTAGGAATAAGAAGTGAATTGGCGAGAATATCACTGTCCGATGTGCCGCTCTTAAAAAACGACATGTCTACTCCAAATGATTTCTCGAGATGATCCGAAATGTTCTCTTCGGAGTCATCCTGACCTGTAGCCCAGAATTCGTTCAGTATAGCAATGGTAGATAAATGCCGATCTGTCGCCCTTTGGGTCTTGGCAGAACCCCAACCATGATCTCTGAGCATCGTTCTCCACCAGGCATTGATACGCGTACCGCCTCGAGGATATGGGCTTCCCCGAATTTCGGGAGTAGATATCCATGAAGTAACCAGCTGGTTTTCATGAAGTTCGCTGTGAGAGGTCTGTTCTTTAAGAAGATCACAGCTGCATAGTGTGAAAAGATTAGGCGAGCCGCCTCCATCGAAACGAATTCGATGTGACGTAGCATGGATTTGGTCAACGCAAATACCACGTAATAATAGCTGGTGATCAATGACAGTCACTTGGCTCTCCTGGCTAAGCTTCCCGGAAGCAGAAAAATGTGGTATCTGTGCTAGCCAGTCCAATACCTTGGGGTTAGGGTCGGTCCTGGTTTTTGGTATGGACAAGTCAACCACCCAACTTGGTAGGTCTTTTAGTTCAGTCGACTTACGTGCCCCCCCAAAAGATAAAGGCAATAGGTTACCGCTTAGGCGGATATGTTCCTCAGAAACGGCAACGAGAATATCTGCAATTTGGGCCTCGTAATCGGGCACAATATCAGATCTCGCTAAACCAAGAAGTGCATAGACAAGATCATGAGGCTCGGTCGCGTTTCTTTTCACGAGCTGTAGTGCCAATTCGAGGACAGTGGGCTTCGAGCCCAAGTTTTTTCGCAGTTCACCCAACTCATGAAAGCTGTCGAGAAGGCTAGCCAGATTCTGGTCGATGGCGGCTCGACTTAAACCAGCAACCGTGCAGCATTCATTATACATATGGAGTCTGTAGTTCGAAGCAGCCGATATCATGGTTTCGAGCGGTATAGACACAGAGCCAAAATGCAAACGGCCAACTGGGGCTAGAGCAGCCTCTTGGACAACCCATAGCCGATAAAACCATGGGTCTATCAAGAAGCTCACGATATGATGCTTGAGAACGCCTGGCCATAGTCTATTAAAGCATAGTACGGGCAAGAAAGCGGTAACCTCCGTAAGATGTGTGCCGTTGGCAAGCTCCCGGAAGATCCAGGCCATGAAGAGATCGATCCGATCATGGTGGCTTGGGGAAATGATTGAGGCCTTGTCGGTGCTCCCTGGTGCGAACTTGAAGTGTTTGCAATACTCAGACCATAGAGTATTGTAATCGGCATCGTCGCCGGAGAAAGTCCATGACTCGTCCATTTGATCACGGCAATAATATGTTAGGCCATCCATCCATATATGGACCTGCCGACTCGAAGAGTATATTTCGCCCATAATCTGGACTTGTTGGTTTCGCTCGCTGATGCACCGTTGATTGATGCACAGAGCGTCGATCCAGATGAGTAAAGGTGTGCTCTCAACGCCTTGGCGGGGCCGGAGCACGCGAATAGCATTGAACAGAGTATCAGATAGTGGGACAGGAGTGCTATTGATCAGTATACTCTTACTTCTGTCTTTCAGGTTTTCTGTTTCCCAGACGTAAGAAAGCGTGTCGTAGATCGGTTTGTTGACCAAGCTGACAACTGTCATTTCAGCCTCCAAAGAGGCATCCCATTCTGCCGGTTGGATGACAAGCAGTCTTATTGACGATAGGGCTGGGTTGAGTGGTAAGTGTTCGTATGAGAGAGAGTTCATTGTTGCCGCTACCGCCATTATCCACTCGTTTCTGTAATCCTGAGGAGAGTCCCAGGTCTCGAAACTGGCCCAATAGCACGGTCTACGGATCGTATGTTGCCAAAATTTTGTATGCTGTTAGTATCGGGAACCTTTGCTTGATTGGCAACTGTAGTGAACTTTTTTCCGAGTCATCGGCTTGTTAGCAATGCTAATAAGAGTAGTCGATTAGCGTGATTTTATGCAGGCGGTGTGAGAAAAGCTTCTTGAGGATTCTCAACCCTGTAAGCCGCGTGGATCTTGAACGGAGTGGGTGGATGATTAGGCAGAAGTGCATGAATTTTCTCACGTTTACAAGGCAGTCGAGGATTCAAGCGGCAATATAACAGGCTTCCTCGTTGGCAAGCCAGAATAAACCAATACACATATTGCGTAGGTGGTGGCTTAGAAAAAAAGAAAAAAGAAAAGAACTACGCTTAGATTAATCAAACTCGTGTGTCTCCGTGAATTCGAGGACCAAGGAAAAATGGCAAAACAGTCTAGGTAGATGTTGAGATAAGAAATTCCTCTAGGGATTTCCACAACGTGCGCCAAAGGCAAGCATGTTTATATAAACACCTTTCTGTATAACCTCATAGTACGCACCTTAAACGGAAACTCTGAATGTATTGAAGCCATTCTTTGTGAATAGGGTCGACATTATAGATTGCACTATGTCGGATTAAATATAGCATCTCAGCCTCATATCCTGTGTAAACTCTAAGACAGACTAAAGCCACCAGTGCACACTGTTAATTCCTGCATTCCAATTTCACTTGATTTGGTTTGCCAAACCTAAACTCTAGAGTTCTGGCATTCATTGGACTGATACGTGCCAGCTAGGACAAATCCGGTCCTTTGCCATGGCCTTTGCTCTTCGTTTGTTCCCCTCACAGGGTCACAAGCCATGCGCCCATCCGTTCTACACACCAGGCCCATGCACCTCAGCCCGCTGGCTTCGTCTACAAGATGCACAGTGATCATCCTGTGGAAAACATGAACGCGGAGTCAGTGATTGTAAGTATAGAACTGTGGTGCTTCTTGTTTCGTTTATTCAAGGTGGTCTTTCCGGATCACATCTATGACCAGCCCTGTCTAACCCATAATACTCCAGGCCGCGCAATGGACTCTGATGTCTGTTGCTATATTGCTTGTTGTTGCGCGCCTATCGGTACGCTTTCGTTTGAAGCAGAGGAACCTCATCTTATCCGACCTGTTTCTCGTCATTTCATGTTGCGCAGCTGTAGGCCTGCTTACTGCAGACATCATCATTTGGAAGCAGGGCACTTGGCTGAACATCGTGGACCCTGGAGTTACGACGCTAAAGGTAGATGCTCCTCTAACAATGTATTTATCTTGGTGATTAATCTCACTGGTCCATTCATCTAGGCCCGCTACGCAATCTGCTTCCTTTTCGACACGGGGATCTACTTTCCCAAGTTTAGTATCATCGCATTATACTACACCCTCGTCCCTCGTACTCAACCATGGATGCGAATTGCGCTCTATGTCCTTACTGCAATCACGACTTCATGCTGCCTCGTCACAATCTTCTATACGGTGTTTTACTGTGGACTGGATGTAGCCGAAAATTGGTATGTAATTCCCATTTAAAGACACAGACAGTCCGTCGGGTCAAGTGATCGTATGAACACTTGAGATTAATTGGTCTTAGGTCAACTGAACCAGGGTCCTGCAAGTTCTTTTTTGCTGATATGCCTGTTGAGATATACTGGGGCATGCATCTCGCAACCGAGGTTCTTAGTATGGTGATATCACCCAGTATGACTCGAACAAATTCTAATAGCCGACTAGACTTTATTTTCCCATTTTCCATTGTTCGTGATCTGAGGCTCCCGAATCTCCGCGAGAAGATCGGCCTGTATATCATTCTTGGTCTAGGTTTGATCACGATTCTTGTTACAATAGCCCGATACATCAATGGAGTATTCGGTTTCAGCTCATACGGAGCCAGTGAGTACCTCCAATGCCTCTTTCCACATGAAGAAGGATATCAGTAACGACAGATAGCTAATTCTGTGATCTTGTACAAGCCCTGTGGGGTACAGCAGAATTAGCCACTGCGATTTCTGCAGTTGCTCTTACAGCCTTGCGGCCACTTCTCCGTGTTATCACAGAGATCGTGACAGACACATACAGCAAATTCACCAACAAGTGCACAGGATCTTCTTACACGACTGCCGCTAAAAGCTCCTTTAGCTCTAGATCTAGACCTTCAGCTTAACAGATATCAACAAGAGAACGGAAATACGCTGATTAGAAGCTGTGCTCATTTGCTTCCTGTACATATTGTAGCTGGCCCAGGGACTGATGGCAATTAAAGGCTCGATGATATGTTAATGATACAGGCGACGGGCCTTATATCGATATTCGTTATGAAGTATATGCAATAAGAAGTCCTTGGATAAACTACAAGCTTATAAGACCATTTGGAAAGGCCAAGCCCTTGTGGCGGATATGAGATGTGCAAGCAAAATTTCAACTTAAGACTGCCCTTAAAGCTATCACCGAGGAGGATAGTGCCGAGAATATTCTTGAAATTCCAGAGGCTACAAACGCAAAAGTGGTAATGCTCTTCAAAAAGAGTAGCTGGGTAGCCTTTCCAACTATATACCTTGATAATGGATGACGAAAAAAGTCGACCGATAAGTTTCTGACTAGACAACCCTGGAAGATAGAATACCGCCGTTCGCATGGTCTGATAATTTGTAAGCAAACCAAGACCGCATCTCTTGTCTTGTTGAAGATTGAGATCATCATGATGTGGCGACAAGTATAGAAGGCTATTGATAAATCTGTCTTGAGCCCATCGATGATAACCTACCAGGTCAAGGATCAAGTTCGCAACTACTTGAGATTACCTTCTATATTGCCCAGTAATCTCTTCCCTTTGCCTCAAATGCTATTAGAAGAGTTGCAGTTCAGTACAAGGCCGTGCCAATAGCCTACAAAGCTGGTAACGGAATTGAACTCCGATCATGGCGGTATCAATCACAACGAATGCCGCAGACCACCCTTCTGGGTATGTTCCGGCTCTATGCGTGGACGTCGATGTTATTATCGGAAGCCCTGCTGTTCTGAGTTCTCTTGCCTCTCTAGCACTAGAGAAGAATCTAACTGGCAAGGATAGGTACCGGCAGGCATTTAAACGTTCCACTCCCTGCTTGGTGCTCGTTGATTTCTACTGCATGGGGTTGGACTGGAAATAACTACCCTGTCGTAAAATACTGGACTTTAGGAAAGGGTATGTATACGCAATACGCATTATTAGATAAGCCCCATCTTGCTGTGAGCAATTAAGACAGGATCCGCGTCCATAGTGAGGCGCAGTAGGCTGATTCCTCTCCGTCGTTTGATTTCTTATTTCCAACGGCGTTGTCTCATGCTAAACTCGTATTTCTTCAAACCGATACCAAGCTAGATGAAATGGACTCGAAAGCATGCAAGACATTGCTCAACACCGCCGAGATCCTTGAGGCACTCCTGCTCCAGGCGGACCCCAAGACTGTCTTGCTCGCTCGGCGAGTCTGTGTGAAATGGAACGACTTAATCTCCAACTCTCCATCCATCCAGCAGCACTTGTTCTTTCGGCCTATCCCGGGCACGACTCCCGTGGTCCTCAACCCAATTCTCGCCGAGGCCTTCCCACCCTTCTTCCAACGCGCGGCCCCTGCCGGGACTGACTATGAAGTGTCTGCGCCTGCTAAGCGTCTCAAGCCAGAAGCGTTGGCCCGACGGATGCGGCAAACGTTCTCCTTCAATGTGACTCTCCAAGACCCATACGTCTCCATCTACGGGGCACCCTACGATGAGGAGCCCGACGTCCATCCACACTTTACACCCGAGGACTTGGAAGGCCTCCCGCTCGCCCAGGACCACTGCAACGCCGCCTTCCGCTACGAACGAGCTACCTGGAGAGCGATGCTCCCATGCCAGCCTCCGCTCACGTCTTTCATCTGCCTGACGAAGGAGGAGTCCATGGGGTTCGAAGGACAAGGCTTCCGTCGCATCAGTGAGAATGGGGCTGTGATCCTTGACGATGGTGGTGAGGTGCCAGAAGGCAAGGAAGACCCAGGGCAGGGCGCTCCAGTGCGCATGGAGACTCTGTTCCACCTAGTGACGGGTGGCTGGGGTGATGTGAATGGTTGGGTATGGATATGGGCCACCGAAGGTTTGGAGACGCCGATTCCAAAGGACGTGGGGTTCAGTGTGATCAATGAGGCACGGAGAGAGATTATGAAGCGGGCTGTGCAGCGCGACGGTTTGTGTCTACTCGAGACCAGCGTGACACAATGTACAGGCGGCCGCGGGCCATGGTCTTTCGACAACAAATTCCGAGTCAAACCTCCCTACAATCAGCCCTGGTGATGAGTAGTTTGATGACTGCGTTCAGAGTGCACATGGATGGATCATCGGAACGTGGATAATTAGCCAGGTATACGCAGGAGTGTACATACGGATTCGTAAAATTTCTCTTGAAACAACCAGCAGAGGGTGTTGTATAGCACCCCCTTCTGTCTACACCTCATCATCAATAATGAAACACGTCCACCTTGGCCTTGGTTCTAAGTGGTACGTCATAAGAGGCTTGGGATTAGACTACGGTCGTCATAGAAGGGAATAAAGGGATATTCGATGTGATGACTGGTATCCACTGGTATCCAGGCTATCCAGAACTACATCCGCTCTTCAATTCTATCGCGTGATCATATACAGTTAATCACAAAGAAGCAGGAGAAATATAGCAGTTTACATGTGTGTGAGAAAAGTGATGATTCATCTCAAGACTGTATTTTTTCTATCCACAATCACAATATGCTCTAACATGACTATGTTCAGCTACATGACTCTGGAGTACGTGGTAAGTCTCTAAGCCTTGTTGGCATTGATCCAGTCAATAAAGTTGCCAATTCTGGTGTATACTCCAGCGTAGTTTGCTCTGGCGCACCCGTTACCCCAAGACACAACACCCTGGAGGACTCCAGTTGAGGCATCAATGATAGGACCGCCGCTATCGCCGCCGCACGCATCCTTACCTCCACCGGGCACACTAGCACACCACATGGCGTCAGTGATTGAGGAGGTACCGTACTGGGAGCGGCAGGTAGCTCGGGAAATGACGGAGACGGTGACCTTCCTCAAGGCAGAGACGACACCAGAGCCGTTCTCACTTGTAAGGCCCCTGAGGTCAAAGATGGATAATTAGTCGATATTCAACAGAAACATAATGGAGTTAAGAGGAATGCCACATACCAGCCAGCAACAGTGACGGAAGAGCCAGTAGCAGGGTCAGACCCTTGGGCGGGAAGGGTAGCATATTTGATCGTAGAGCTCTCAGCGATACTGGTGGCAAGTCTAAATACGGCAACGTCGTTGTACGGAATGCCGTCGCTACCCTCTCTATAACTGGGGTGAATGGTAATGGAAGAGACGCTAACTTGAGTACCACCGGAAGAGCGGTTCTGTAAATTGCTGTTAGGTCGATGCTTTAGGATTGGGACTCGAAAGAGTCAAGTGTGATCTTCTTTTCCCCCATAGTAAGGTTCTTAGCAAGGGCCTAGTTACTTACAGCTGATCCGGCCCGGACCCGAAGAGAGGACTGGCTCATGCCGGCGCAGTGTCCGGCGGTCAAAACAGTGTTGGCACTGATCAGAACACCGCCACAGAAGGTGCTCCCATCAGTAAGAGCGACAATGTATGGAAACTCCCCAATCGTAGCCGTTGTACCTCCAACGATGTTAATGCCCACGGTACCCTCCTCGACCGGGAGGGCTGCTGCCATAGAGACAGCGGGCACCAGAAGTGAGGCCGCGAGAGAGCGTGCGTTGACCATTGTGTCTTTAGGGATGAGGAGATGGCTTGAGTTGATTGTTGAAGACCGGGTGCTGATGTAGAATCATGCTGTTGAAGACGGGTCGACCAGCCTGTTTACATAGTTTTTGGTTGGCAGGGGGGCACTATCCAAAGGTCCTTCAAACAACATCTCCTGCCTCAGACTGTTGAGCACTTTCCTCATTATCTGATGTGCTATGTCGAACCTCGCCACTCGGACTCAATCAACCCGTGCTATCTTGAGCCGTGTAAGCCTTGTGTGTGGATCGCGTATCCAAATCCACATACTGGACATTGCCAGAATTGGTAGCTGCGATACTTGTGCGTTTAGGAGCCTTCTTGGCAATTCTAAAGGCGGGTCAGCCGGGAATCCTTCTCCAAAAGGCTCTTCCAATGTAAATCCGGACCTTAAGTATAACTCCGAATGCAACGTCGGGCGGGAGTTGAGCATAAATGAGACTTAATCTATACTCGAATCTAGATCCAAACAGAAGCTTAGTTGGCTCTCTTCGTCTTCGGCCGAACGAATTAGCCTCTTGGCTGCTTAAACCGTCTGCTCCGAGTAGATAAGGATGCCTTCAATTAGTGGGGCTGAGATTCATTATTTGGAAGGTGTTTTCTGATTCAGGATGACAAAGGCAAAGCCAAGAGAATGATCCTTGCTTAGAGTGAACTAGAGGCGAGTGAATTATCATCACCACATATTACTAGAGCGGCGTATAAGAAGTTATTATTAACTAAACACAGTGGCCCTTGACATCCAGATTATCTATTCCAACCAAGAGCAGTGGCTCTGGAGTTAGGCAAGACTTTCCTCGAGGACAATTGAAATGTTGAGTCAGGGCCAAGTACGATGGCCAACCTAATGTATTGAACTTGAGTTGTAACACCTGTGCTACAATGTGTGTGGGAGGTGAACATGGTGTATGTGGTGATCTCATCAATTGGAAACAAAGCCACCATGTGGCTGATTCTGGATGTCTTAGAGACTGCCGTACGCATGGGTCGCGCCGAGCCATCAACCATAACCCAGAGGTAAATGTAACCACATGGAACCAATCGAACAACCCCGCGACGATGCGATGGCGTACACTACCGCAATATTTTGGATAAGCTTCAGACGCATTTAGATCTAATTTCACGAGCCTATGCAAGGAACCTTTGCGCAGGTTATCACCTACTATATTAGATGGCAGATGCAAAAGATCAGAGAGGGGAACGACACCACATGACAGTGGGCTTAGCTTTTTCTTTGTAGCTTCTGAAAATGGGCAGTTACAAGCGCGGAATATGTCTTCTAAGCCTCTGGTTAAGGTCGGAATAGGAAGCTGGGGAAGCTGGGGTTAAAGCTTAGTTTCACTGAGCCAGAACAGGAAGCTAGATCTACCACTCATATGGCTCACATTGTGGAGAATGTCAAAAGAGCACACAATTGTCAATAGGTTTAGTAAGAGTCATACCATCTTACTTTGTTTCTTATCTGCCTTCTCCGACATCGGATACTTGGGGCGATAAATGGTTATCTAAGCTACGAGCTAGGCAATACTAACAAGTTCCTAAGGGCGACTGACTGCTAAATTCCCAATGTCTTCGTGCAGCCCCGTTAAAATTGCTTTAATAAGTAGATGATTGAGCACACTGTCAGTCTATATATTTCATTAGCTAGTACCTTTACTGAAAATTATCTCTATTAATATCTCAATTATATGTACAATGATACTATAGAGCGCTATCGTAAGTGCAGACAGTGAAGATTATCTATTTAATGTACGAGAAAATTCTTTCCAGGTATCTAAGAAACCCTTCAACATATACTCTCGAGGATTTCTATTTGATATTGTCTCGAGCACTACATATTGATGGATGTATTCAAAGCTCGACCTGTTGCCTAGCTGTAAAGCTTACGTCCAACTATGTAATAGCTTTAATGCTAACAATGACTTATGCCCGTCATGATGGCTGATATAGGTTAAATAACGAAACCACTCTGTAGACTACTAGTTACTATATTACTTGAAAGAGACAACTTACCAAATACTGTTGGTCAAGCCTAGCAAAGTTGCCCTAGTGGCAGACAGTGCATTTGGCTATTGTATAGGCGGAGCCACAGAGACACAATCTTGCCTGTCCTTGTTCTTAAGGGGCTCACTTCCCAACCTTAACGCCTCCTCCGCGGTGGCCGCCTCCGCCGTTGTTAGGGGCGCGACCACGCTTTCCGACTTTCACAGTTCCTCCTCGGTGACCGCCTCCGCCGTTGTTAGGGGTACGGCCACGCTTCCCAACCTTAACACCTCCTCCTCGGTGACCACCCCCTCCATTGTTGGGGGTGCGGCCACGCTTTCCGACCTTAACACCTCCGCCATGATGACCACTTCCGCCGTTGTTAGGGGCGCGGCCCCGTTTTCCGACCTTCACAGTTCCTCCTCGGTGGCCGCCTCCCTGGTTGCTAGGAGTGGGGAAATTGCGGCCGCGTTCTTTAAGGTCGCGGCCTTCGAGTTCATCCAATTGCCTCTTGTCAAGCGTGTCCAAGTCTCTTGGACTCTCCTGATGAGTGGCAAGTCCGTGGCTGGCGAGGCCTAACCACAGAAGAGATGCGACGCTAAGATGCTTGATGGCAACCATTTTGAAATGGGTTGAGGAGGCTAACGAAATAGTCGCAGATAAAACCAAAGGTAATGATGATGAAGGACCTCAAACAAGGAATAAACGAAAATGTGTGAAAGGGCGAGAAAATCGATCTTAAAAATGGACTTGCTTTGCTTCGCTTGTGCTACTGATGATGTTATGGAAGGCTGGGATCCGAGCAGATGTGGCTCTAATTTATAGGTTTATCTTCTTCAAAGAGATTCTAGCACTACTCAAAATTATCATCTCGAGTATCTTCTAAAATTAACAACTAATGGCCTACGACTGGGATCTCAAAAGGATCGTCGTACTATCAACTTTCAACAAAGGATGCCCACGATGCTGAAACTCGAGCCATACCGTAGCAACAAGCCGATCCTAGAAATCATCTCGTTACTTGCTAGGTGTATCGACCACTTTCTATGATGCCGATCCCAGAAACCATCCCGTTCCCTGCCAGGCATACCCACCCCTCGCTAAATTGCGGAAAGATTCCGTGCTTTGACGAAGAGATGAACTAAATGTACATACGCACTACCTTTTTATCTTCGGAAAGTGTCCGTTGCCCATGGTTTCAAACCCTTGTGAGCGGCAGTTAAAGGCTACTATGTAGCCGTGCAACCCGTGCCAAGCAATGGCTACCGAGTATACCTAGCCTCTAGACAAATTCAACCTCACTTCAGTTTGATAACCAAGTTAAGGCGTAGAATTTCTCAGTCGTGAAGGGTGCTCGCGTACGCACAACCTCTACTATGTAGAACATCTGCTCTTCGGTAAAGTTCTTTCGTAGAGCTCTCCCTGTCCCTAAAATGTGGAAATAATCACCATTAGGCCTCGTTACATCGCTTTTCTTGTTTGGTAATCATCACCAGGTTAGTGAATACAACGTATACTGAGCTATATGTAAGACACGTGTTTCTTCCATTACCGCTTTTGGGATGTCAGGGGGTTTCAAACCCTGCGTTTGCACCTGGGCGAGAATTCAATAAATGAAATGAGCATATTGATGGAGATGCATCGCGCGTCACGGCAAATCATGTCTCGTCTTATACGGTGAGATTTGCCGGCCCGCGCGCTCAAACAATCATACAGTTCACTCATCGTCCAAGCATCCAAAACTGATAACTCTGGAGCATTCACAACACGTCTCCTAGCCAAAAATGTGTCGCATTTGGTAGCAATGGCATCCAAGTCTATTTATGTCGCCTGATTATGCCGTAGAAATATTCTCATAAGCTCCTACTCATCAGTACGTAATTAAAGACTTGGTAGACTCGATCATAACAATGAGTGATATTTGAAACTTGCGACATGCATCAATATGCCCACAATTTCACGGTATGGCTTCCATGATATAATTATATTTTAAGTAGACTAGAAAAAAACTATATTTTTAAATTCTGATATTTATTAAATCAAGTTTTTAAGCTCTGCAGCTTTATTATCATTGAACTTTATTCTCCATCTCTCTTCTGTAGTTAAAGCAAGCAAAGTTGATATTTTCTATTAAAACATTCAGATAGGCAGATGGGTGCACATCTCGTCGATCTAGATATCAACTTGGCAGTCGTTGGCTTTGTAATGTACTGGCCTGGTGCTTTAAAGCTGGAAGTTAGACATATTAAAACGAACTAGAAGAGCTTTGATTTCTGCCAACTACTAAGTGTTGCCAAAGACTAACTGTATCTATATCAAAGTTCTCATTTCCCTTCCTGGTTGAATAGATCTGTACTGTGTGCGCACATTGAAACAACTTCCCCCGTCCCATTGCCAAAATTTATATCTAGTATACGTAAAAGTTGGTCTCTCCAGGGTTTGCCTCTCTCATCTTCTTGTTCTTTCGCTGGAATGATATTCGCAGAACCCAAGCACCAATAATGACTGCTCCAGAGAAGCCAGCACTAGCCATCATGGGCATCAGGAATCGCGGGGATTCCTTATCTGGCCACAGGTATGGGGTGTAGATGGAGGCCGCGTTACCCAGGGTATTAGCGAGGGCAATTGCAACGGCCTTTTTCTCATCAGTCTGCCCGCAGCAGGATCCGACCCATGCGAGGATGATATTGTTCACGCCGTATGTGGCACCGACGAAAAGCATGATGCCGATAAAACGAGCGGGGACGTTTAACGTGGCACAAGATAGCACGAAGCCAACGATCGCGATCAACTTGCTGACGGTAGTGTGCCAGGTTCTCTCGTTATTTCTCCCAGAAGACCATGCAACGGCAACCGAGCAGAACCCAGCGAAAATATAGGGTGGGCAGGTGAGGACGAGGGTGATAGTGGTGTTGTATCCGAGCGACTTCATCACAGTGGGAAGGAAGTTTTTCTGTTTATCGTTAGTTCAGAAGTCATTCGATGTTTGGGAAATTTGAACATGCTCACAAAGCCATTGGCGCTGAGGTGGCAAGTGTCGATAAAGCAGAACAACCAGACACGCCAGTCAACGACTGCCTCCTTCAGGCCAGTCCAAACGCTGGTTCCTTCTCGGCGGTTGGTAGTATCCAGAGCGATACGGTTGTGGGCAAGCTGCCTCTGCTCAGGGCTGAGCCAACGGGTCTTCAGAGGACTGTCTGGGAGGGTGAAGAAGGCGATGATCGAAATTACAATTGAGAAAGCTCCTTGTATAATAAAGAGCCTAAATGTGTCAGCTTTCCTGCGGCTTATGAGGTTCCATATTCAACTCACCACTGCCAACCTGCGAGCCCATGTTTATTGTCCAACTCGGAAAAGATGGGAGCAGCAATCAGACCAGAAAAGGCACTGGCGCACATATTTCCGGTGTAGAAAATGGACATTCTGGTTGCCATCTCCTTCCTCGTATAGAACATAGAAATCATGTACAGGGCACCAGGATAGAACTATTGTCAGGCAGATCAGCAACCATTGTGTCGGGGTATGATAATTTTCTTCAGTGCGTACCGGAGCTTCGACGATACCTAGGATGAAGCGACAGACCAGCATGTGTTCGTACGTGCTTGCCTTAAAGGTCAAAAGAGATACGATGGACCAGGCGAGACTGAACCCAGCCATGTACACTAAAAAGTGTCAGTGGTTTTCCTGGCAGCACTCTTGTTGAAGTTGCGTCACATACAGCTGGGTCTCACACGGTTGAGGATCATGTTCGAGGGGACCTGGCCACAAAGATAGCCGACAAAGAGAATGGACACGCAGGTGTTGTATTGAGTTCCCTTCATGCCCAGGTCCTTGTCCAGGTTGTTCAGCTTGCCATTGACCATGGCGTTGCGATCGAGGAAGTTGAAGAAGTACATCAACCAGAGGATAGGCTGCAAAGGTTAGACAAGAATTCAATTGGACGTGTCAATCGCGTCAACCTACAAGAATGTACCAGTCAAGCTTTCGCACAAGGGCGATCTCCTTGGGGTCTGTCTTGGTATGAGCGCCAAACTCATCCACCTTCTCGATCTTGGGCATTTTCTGAAACTGTTCATCGTCATTTGGGCACTCTTCCACGTGGGCGACCTGGTTCTTGCCACTGTCCACCAGGACAGAGGGTGACACTTCTGCCGGAGCTTGTGCCGGAGTGTTCTCGTTTGCTGCCGCCATTGTCCTTTGTTCCGGGGGTCGAGTGCAGAACTGCTGGTACCGGTGTAGTATTCTCTGTTTCGACCAGAGCTTGGAGTGTTATTTATCTGAACCTGGCAAGCCGCCCAGAAGACAGAGAGACCGTTGGAGAGGAATACCCCACGGGGATAGGTTCGTCAGATCCACAGCTCAGCGGTCCATTTTCCGGCAAGAACAGAATGGGGTTGCAATCTGGGGGCGGGGAAATAGGGATCCACGACTCATCCTTGGAGGTTGGCGCCAATGGGATGATGGCTTCGGAAAAGTGACCAACAACAACGCTAGGAAAACGGGTCCTTTGCATTTTCCGACATCCTGTACCCGAGGCCTTTCGTAGCATGTTTCCTAGCCAGTCTAATCTTACCTGACACTTGTCCCCTGATAAGCGAGATGTTACGGAATGCCAAGCTTGCCGTATCTCTAACCGGTGACCTCGTGAACAAGGGCCATGTATCCGGCCAATATTGACCCCATGCCCTGATAGAGACTTTCCAATTGGCGGGTAAGCTGCTCGTCTAATAATTGTCGATAGTGGTGCAATGGTTGAGAGTCGCTAGTATACCTAAAACTTTCGTTTAGAATGACTGTATTGATAACCGTGACTGCGAATCAGCGCTGAAATGGCTTCTTGGGTGGAGGTCATTATTTCCATAGCGCCCCAAATCAATCAGAATTATGCAGCAGTACCTAGCAAGTGCCAAAGCATGGTTCTCACTTTGACCCCTCATCGCGACGTGGAAGTTGCATTGTTGGCTCTTCTATTCTTCTATTTAGAGTGCAGACTTTTGAAAATACAATTATGAAGAACCTATACTAGATTTCTGTGCTTCCTTCTCATGTTAAAAGGTTAGGCCTTCTAGACCCGATAGAAGTAGACCCATTTGACGGCGATAAAGTTGGTCAAAAGACCACCAGAGATGGTCGATTTATTTCAGCCTATCATACACGGTAAAATCTCATTAATAACAGAAAGGCGAGGAAGAAGTTCATCCAGAGTGAGGGTAGTATCCCGTCCCGAGCCAGAACCTTAATCGCTTTAGGGCTGGCTTGAGTTGTGCAACATATACAGGGTCCATTATCAGCCAATGCATAGATTATAGTGCCTACTAATAATTCTAGTATAGGAGTATTCAGAAGACTTTCCCGCATGCTCCAAGACAGTGTAGACTTCGCATTATAAGAACAGTCAAGTCGTTATTTCGAGAGGATATCCTAGTAAAGATTGGAAAATCAAGCCAGCTAATAACAAAAGTGGTATGGTTGCGAGCCCGCGTATTAAGTACAGTTCGTGCGGTTGCTTTCTCAGGTTGTTGATGGATTTAATGAGAGGAAGTGAGATCCTCGGAACTTGATTCTAGCACAGCACTCCCTTCCCATACCATGGCCTTATTATCCTCACCGTTGGAGTAGGATTGAAGGGCTGGGCAACTGGGGCAGTTCCCGCATGGGTCATCCCTGGACCAGCGACATCCTAATAAGCGACATGGGAGCTGATGTATTGTTACTAATCCCCCTGAAGGAATTGTTTTATGAGGCTGCAGGATATAGCTACCCTACACATCAGTTGCTTCGCGTCAAAGGTTCTCCAACTCTGGTTTTTATCTTTATCAACTCTACAATTAGGATTTAGTTGTTCTTCCTCCCATCCAAGTTGACTCTAGCTGTGACCTTGGAAGTTTGAACCCCACAACGCTTGCAATCTCGACAAGTCTTGAGATTGTTTCTTGTCATTGTGGAAAGATCATGTTTTAAGTTGCTCTTATTCAAGGGTATCACTTGACAATTATGAGAACCAACGAGCTATCATCATCAAATCAAATTTCGGGTTCACCTTGGAAGAACTTAATAAAAAACAGGAACCTACGTCTATACTGCGTCTCTCCTCCATATAATGACCCCACAAGACGCCACGGATGGACGTTTTTATCCCCGGATGCTGGACAATTGACAGATCCACCGACGGCTCGTGAGGGGTATCTTTGGCATCCGAACATCGGATAACACTCACAGAAAGCCGACGCCCCAATTAATTTCTCTACAGAACGGAGAAGCTTGGGGCTGCGTGATGGGCGACCTAAATTAATTATTATGCAGGCGTCGCGCAGGCTATTTCCATTTTCAATCCTTTTCTCGTTGACCCTCGCATTTTGTCTCATTCCCCTCGCCGCTCCCTGCCCATTCGCGCGCTTACAATCCTTGTCATAGCCAATATCCTTACCATCATGTCTTCAGGCCGCACCTTCAAGCTGAATACAGGCCACTCCATCCCCGCAGTGGGATTGGGTACCTGGGTAAGTCATTTTGAAACACTCTCTCGAGAAACGCTGCGAATGTACGAACGACTGACGACTCGAATGTTATAGCAATCCGCTCCGAATGAAGTCGCGCGAGCTGTCGAGTATGCCTTGAAGCACGGATATCGCCATATTGACGCGGCTGCTGTGTACGACAACGAGGAAGAGGTCGGCGCTGGTATCAAGGCTTCTGGAGTGCCCCGGAATGAAATCTTCATCACCTCCAAGCTATGGAACACTCATCACGCGGCCGCTGATGTGGAGGAGGCTCTGGACCAGACCCTCAAGGACCTCCAGACTGACTATGTCGACCTCTATCTCATTCACTGGCCAGTTTCATTCAAGAAGCCTGCGAGCGCCAAGGAACGCTTCCCTATCGATCCTGCCGACAAGGGTGTCTATGTTGTTGATGTCCCAGTTGAGGAGACCTGGAAGGCTATGGAGGCTTTGGTGAAGAAGGGCAAGGTCAGGTCGATTGGAGTCAGCAATTTCAACAAGGAGAAGATTGAGGAGATCCTTAAATTGTGCGTTTGAAATTTGCCTCTATTTGTTACCAAGCTAACTTCGAATTGCAGTGCCGAAATCAAGCCAGCCGTGAACCAGATCGAGGCACACCCCTTCCTTCAACAGCCCGAGCTGCTGGAGTGGTCTAAGCAGCAAGGCATCCACATCTCAGCCTACAGCCCGTCCGCAAACAACATTTACAACCTCCCCAAGGCAATCGATAACGAGGTGGTCGTCAAGATCGCCAAGGAGATTGGCAAGTCACCTGCACAGGTCCTCATCCAGTGGGCTGTCCAGCGCGGCACGTCCGTCCTGCCCAAATCGGTCACTCCATCGAGAATCGCAGAGAATTTTGAAGACTTCGAGCTGTCTCCCGAGGTCGTGGCGAAGATCAATGCGCTGGACACTAACACTAGATACAATATGCCTAAGAGACTGGGTGTGAATGTCTTTGGGGAGCACACTGAGGAGGAATTGAAGCAGGCCAGGAAAGATTGGATCGCCGCGCAAGCAAGTAAATAGAATACCTAGAATTATAGAACGTCGAACTGATTCATACAAATGCTACACCAATGCACCGCCTATCCTGGGTCCAATTGATCAGAAATATCGTCGACACTACTCGCGATCCACAATGTGAATGGAATTGATCGTATCTCTGCTCATTAGAGAGCTGGATCCTGATTTCATCATTCCCAGTACGCCGTAGGGAACAATTCCAAACAACTATGACGTGGATTAGTCCGATGACTGAATAGAGTGTCACGGCAGCGGATAAAACGGACAAAGACCGAACGACCCCAAAAAATAACGGAGCGTAGAACGGATATCATGGCTTCGGGCTAATTATCTCCGAAGCAACTTTCAGTCCCCGAAATCGGATACTCGAAGCGGCAAAGGGAGGGGACATTCAAGTCGGAGACGGCAATGTCTGTCAGATCTCATTGGAAACAGCTTCGGCCCGCCAACCAGTTGCATTTCCGGCGCCAGGCAATGTGGGGTTATGCAGAGCACTCTCCAACAAAACCTGTCTAGAAAGCTCACTCTACCTCAGTCAGCAAGAAAGCTCAGTTGATTTGGGTAGACTGAAGTTGAGTCAAGTGCGCAGGAAAAGCCAATATGGGGAAAATCGCCAACATCGAGTACTTTCGTGTACCGCCTAGATGGCTTTTTGTCAAGATCATCGACCAGGAGGGTAATGTTGGCTGGGGAGAAGGTAAGCTCATTTGATATGATGCTATGTGTTTTCGAGTCTCAATTATAGTTCTGACAGCGATGCAGCATCTCTCGAGGGTCACACACAAGCTGTAGAGGGATGTTTGGATGCATGGATTTCCCAGTATACGGGGATGGAGGCTGAGTACGCAGAGGCCACTACTTATTGCATGAAGTGTCTATTTACTAATAGGCTACAGCGAGATCGAACAAATTTGGCAAAAGTCATGGCGAATGGGCTTTTATCGTGGTGGACCGGTTTTTATGAGTGCATTATCAGGCATTGATATCGCTCTTTGGGACCTTAAAGGTGAGATTTAACATGTACAAAGCAGTCGTGGGAATGCACGTGCTGATCCCTGCATGCAGCAAGGAAGCTCGGTCTCCCTATCTACGAGCTTCTCGGGGGCAAAGTCCGTGATACCATCAAGGTTTACGCATGGATTGGAGGTGACAGGCCCTCCGATGTGGAGGCTCAAGCGTAAGTTTCAAGCTATTCTGCTTCTGTACCCATGGCTGACGAGTTTCAGGCTCTCTCGAAAGGCTCAGGGCTTTACTGCAGTGAAGATGAATGGAACGGAGGATCTTGGGTGGTTGGACTCACCATCAGCGCTTGATAACTGTGTTGAGCGTGTGAAAACCGTTAAGGCAACCGGTCTGGATGTAGGTGTTGATTTCCACGGCCGTGTACATCGCCCAATGGCAAAGCAGCTTGCCGCTCTTCTGGCGCCCCTTCGTCCCATGTTTATCGAGGAGCCTCTCTTATCAGAACATATCGAGGGCATCAAGGAACTTCAAGCGCCCTGCCCGATCGCGTTGGGGGAAAGACTCCACAGCCGTTGGGATGTCAAGCCATTCCTGGAAGCCGCATGTGTCGACATCCTCCAACCTGACATCTCTCATGTTGGCGGCATCTCAGAACTCCGACGGATAGCAACGATGGCGGAGGCATATGATGTCCCTATTGCGCCACACTGTCCCCTTGGCCCGATTGCTCTAGCAGCGAACATTCAAGTCGATGCAGTAACGGCCAACTTTGCTATCCAGGAGATGAGTCTTGGGATTCATTACAACACAGATGGACATGATCTATTCAGCTATATTAAGAATCCCGAAATCTGGAGTAATATCAAGGATGGTTACATCCAGCTTATGGATGGACCAGGTCTTGGAATTGAAGTCGACGAAGCCAAGATCCGTGAATTGAGCAAGGATGCCAAGGCATGGGTGAGCCCAGGGTTTGTTGGGCCCGGAGGCGAGCTGCGAGAGTGGTAATTACCCAGTGACATAGAGCAAAATAGAGACAATCATAGTGTGTAAATGAGATGCTACGCTGAAATTCTCCCTAATCCTTGCGTGTTACTTATACCTTGAACATCCATATTATGATGAAAGTCATTGAGTAGTGGCTGTGCTCTAGCTCTAGGTAATAGGTGGTAATATTGGAACCATTCACCTCGTATAATAAACTAGTCACTGTGTATGCCTACATTAAGATTCAATTAACGATTGGAAGCGATGGGTCACAGCAGAGTCCCAACCGGCTGGTAGTTGGAGTGCTACCTTGGGGTAAGGAGAAGAGGACAGCTGTTGATGCCGGAGAAACTCGAGAATCCAGCCTCGCTTACTGGGTCCCCTATTGCCCCCTGCTGCCCCCGCAAACAGTGATTCTAGATCCGTTGGCGGGTGATGGCAAACCCCGCACGCCATGTCAGTGATAATAAGCGGCATCCGGGATCGGAAAAAAACCACGGGCCTGCACGTTCTTCAATCAAGCCAGACACTTTCCCGCTTCCCCCAGATTCCCACAATCAAGCGGAGACCGATCACTTGGCCCGCCATATTCCTGACAAGAAACTTCGTGATGGATCTTATGCCGGCTGGCCATTCAGATGGGCGCCACAGCCACGACCACCGAAGCCAGCAGCGGCCCAGGAGGAGACGCAAGCCTGCGCACGAGAGGAGCCGGGCCAGCAGAGCTTGCGACCGATGTAAAGGGTAATTGTGTCCAATGTTTTGTTGTCGGAGCCTGGAGCTGACTATCATGACCCTCAATTAGTCGGAAAACGCGTTGCTCCGGGAAAAGGCCTTGTGCTTTATGCTCGAGACTCCACCTAGATTGCACAGTAGGAAACATGTTCTGGGCTCTCCGAAGTCATGGCAGGCCACTGACTCGGTGTTCCAGTTCACGGCACTGTATCGTCGCGGACGTCCGCCTTCCATCGAGCCTGAGACCGGGGGCCTAGAGTCCGAGTCGCCAGGTCCACCACCGACCGAAGAGCGGTTTCGAAGGCCTCCGGCGGTTGGTCAACAAGAAATTGTTTCAGAGAATATCCCCAGAAGCCCCCTCTCCATGGGTAGCACAGGTATCTTGGAGTCCACAAGTAACGGCCAAGGCGTGCCAGCCAACTTGTCGTCTCGAAACTCCCCCGAACCGGTGCAGACAGACCAACAGGGGCACTATGTTGGACCCTCCTCTGGCGCCTCATTCCTGTTGAGGATACAGAGAAAACTTCAGCAACAACCATCTGCCTTCTCATCTGATTCTTCCATCTTCACATTTGGCGATCTGCCGCTTCAGGAACCTCCCACCCGTTTCCTTATTCTACCTCCTCGAACGACAGCTGACGCCTTGCTGCGTCGATATTTCGAGTTTGGCGCAGCTACCCATCGCTTTCTCCACCGGCCAACCGTTGAGGAGTGGCTCCATGAGCTATACGAGACCAATGGGGTTATGCGAGATCCAGCGACATCAGCGAGCAAGACAGCTCTGCTCTTCATGGTCTTTGCCAGCGCGGAAAGTTACCCCAGGGAAAATTCCGGAGGCAAAGTTGATCCCGCAGCGAGGTGTGAAAGTTCCAAGTCCCTTCTTCGGATATGGAGCGATGCTAACCAACCACAATCAGTGCACGATATTTCTTTGCGGCAGAAGAGCAGCTGTCTGCAGAAAAGGGGGCCATCCGCTTGACGAGTGTGCAGGCCAGGTTGATGCAGTGCTTTTTCCTCCTTTGCCACTCGAGAATAAATCATTGCTGGAGCTTATTTGGCACCACCGCTCACCTCATGCTCGCCTTGGGTATCCATCGCAAATCGCATAGGAACTTGGACCATGTTGAGGTGGAGTGCCGCAAGCGAACTTTCTGGTGTGCGTATAACTTGGATACATATCTGAGTGCTTCCTTGGGTCGTCCGCGAACCTTTCGCGAGGGAGATATTGATCAAGAAATGCCCCTGTGTGTCGACGATGGCCGACTGAGCAATGGTGGGGTACCGCCTCATCCCCCTCCGAATGGACAATCTTTGACAATTATGTCGGGAGCGGTTGCGCATATCAAGTGAGTCGAAAGAACCCAAGACCAGGCTCGTAGACTAACAATTGTGTTTAGACTCTCGCGAATTGTTGGCAATATCCTCCACGACTTGTACGACATTCACCCTCCATCAACAGAGAGCTTATTCAAGTTGGCTGCCAAATACACCAAAGAAATCGAATCCTGGCGTATCGAAGCATCTTATCTCGTGGACAAAAACGCGATTGATCCGTCTCTTCTACAGCCCATCTTCCGACGTCAACAAAATGTCCTCAGTCTGGCATCTTGGCATGCGCAAATTCTTGTGCATCGGCCCTTTTTACTGAGCAACTTTTCCAGCTTGGCGAATCTTGGGTCTACGAAGCATAGAAAGACACAGAGAGATGCAGAGCTTGCCGATTGGCACGTCCAGAGTTGCTTGAATGCAGCCATGAATATCATGGCCAAGTTTGATGAGCTGAACTCTGTGGGACAGCTGTACAACACATTCTGGGTAACACCTCCCCCCTGAAATAAAACATGAAGCAATTTCTAATATTTGAGTTTTCAAGTTTTCACTTTATTTTGCGTTCTGCGCTGTGGTCATGGTGTATGTCTACGCGATTCAGCAGCGACACTCACCTCCTGAATCGTATATGAATGCTTTTCAAGTTGCAACAAAATGCCAATCTCAGATAATGAGCATTGCTATGCCCGGATCGCTGGCTCATAGATATGGTCTGGTGCTTCAAGAGCTTCGACTGGAACTTTTACGCCTCAACACCCATCTGATGAGACTTACCGCGTCACAAGGAGGAGCGATCGCAGATAATATAGGTATAGATATGGGACAAACGGATGCGCACCCTAGCATGCCACCCGAAAATAATCACGTCGAGGGAGAAATCGATCCAGTGAATCATTTAGGGCTAGGTGACGACGTACTTGGGTTTGTTGACGGCAGTCCTGGAAGCTCCATCGTGCAGATGGCTGGCTGGAGTCAGTTTGATTCTTTGGTAAGTTTGTTCGAAATACTCTTTAAGCCTGGTTCTCATACTATCATAGGTTACGGGTGGTTTTGGGTCTTTCAGGTCCTATCTTGGCGAGACGGATATTGGCCTTGAGCCTTGGATCGACTTTTTGTCAAAGTAGGGCAGAACGTCGGGGGTTTTTATCCAGAAATACCTATTTCCAGAGAATAATCTACGCCCGTTTCCAATGAAATCTAGCGCCTAAGAACTTTTATTGATAGAGCCCACAGTAGAAATTGCTTATCTCAATCTAAGATGACTCTCTGTTCCATGACACTGTTTGCCCAGAAGCCCAGCTAATCCAGTTGGCCCATTTCTGTCCTCTGTAAGGAGGAACTGTCTCAAGCCCAAGTTCTGCCCTAGCAACCGGATTTGGGGCTTCAAGGTCTCACGTGTTGCCGTTGGCCGAGGCTATGATACGGCCGGCCCCAGCATCGGAAAAGCGTCCTGCGTGATATCCCTGCGCGATATCCGAGCAGCTTACCGACAATTCACGGCCAAGACTGTGCACTTTTCCGATCTACCCCACGGCTCACCTGCATCTTGCATGGAATTGGTGGAATTGGGGCCGCGTGGCCGACGGCACGCGCTGGCCGGATTGATGATAAGGCCCATTCTCAGGCGCAGAGGAGGAGATTCGCCAATAATGTGTGCGCCCTGAGCAAGTGTCGGTCAATTGATTTCTTATTTGGTTTGCTGGCACATCTTCTCACCCTGGTCTCTTACTTTGAATCCCACCAGCGGCATATCACAACCAACAGCGCAATTATGGCAGCAGTAGCGACCTTGGGCCAGGTGGCTTCTGAATTCGCTACCGAGATCATAGAGCCCCAGACATACACACAGAGGGAGGAGCAGATCAATAGCATCAATGACTTCATTCTCCATCAGGCGCGGACCATCCCAGATACTCCTCTGCTGGAGTACCCTGGCACGGAACTTGGAGCAGCAGACTTTGTCGCTTACACTGCGAGGCAACTGGACGAATTTGCCGATGAGGCTGCTAAAAATCTAGCCCGCCAGGGGTTGAAGCCCTCTGTAAGTGATACGTGATTGTCTATTCATACTCCTACTAACATGCCTGGCAGTCGGCAAAGTCAACAAAGGCGGAGGTCGTGGGCCTCTTGGGGTCTTCCAACCTCGACTACATTATTCATATTCTTGCCTTGTCGAGGATGGGCTTTTCTGTCATGTTTTTATCAACCCGTCTTCCAACAGAGGCTTTTGTTTCGTTGCTTGAAAAGACAGAGAGCACCCAAATTGTGGCAGCTCCCAAGTTTTTACCCACCATCACAAAAATTCAGGACGCTGGCTATCCTGTCCGGAGCTTCGATCTTGCAGACCAAACCGTCTGGTCACAAAAGTCGAACACTTGGACAAGATTCCAACGTGAGACAGAGCTCATTGACGAGGAGAACACTGTCGCGTTCATCGTGCACTCCTCAGGAAGTACAGGCCTACCCAAGCCCATCTATCAGACACACAGGCAATGCCTAAGCAATTATGCAACCGGCACAGGCATGCGTGCATTTGTCACGCTACCTCTATTTCACAACCACGGGCTGTCAACAATGTTCCGTGGGTTCGTCAGCGGACAGCGCACAGCCATCTACAACGCAAACCTGCCACTGACCAATGGTCACCTCGTCGCGGCGATGGAGGCTGCGGACTTTGAAAGCTTCCACTGCGTTCCCTATGCTCTCAAAGTATTAGCTGAAACCAAGGAGGGCATCAGGCAATTAGCCAAGGCTCGGTTGGTTCTCTTTGGAGGAAGTAGCTGCCCTGATGATCTGGGAGATCTCCTTGTCCAAAACGATGTGAATGTTGTGTCACACTACGGAGCGTAAGTCAATGCAGAGGGCAGTTCCAAGTTTCTGTTTCAACTAACTCTATATATAGAACTGAAATGGGCCAGCTCATGACTTCCCAAAGAGACCCTAAGGTTGACAAATATTGGAACTACGTCAGACCCTTGGAGAAAGTCAAGCCTTATCTCTGGTTTGACGAGATTACTCCTGGAATTTTTGAGCTGGTGGTACTTGACGGGCTACCTACTAAGACTATTTCTAACTCTGACGAACCGCCCAACTCGTATCGAACTCGAGACACCTTTGTGAAGCACCCCACAATCGCTGACGCCTGGAAATATCTTGGTCGTCTCGATGACAGAGTCACGCTTTTCAATGGTGAAAAGGTTCTTCCTGTCCCGTACGAGCATCGTGTCCGGCAAAGCGAGCTGGTCCAGGACTGTCTCGTCTTCGGCGTCGGCAAGGCCTTTCCCGGACTCCTCATTATGCCTAGTGAGCACGCTGCAGCTATACCAGCCGAAGAGCTTCTGGACCAACTCTGGCCGATCATTGACGATGCCAACCAAAAGGGAGAACAATTCGGAAGAATATCTCGCGAGATGGTGGCTATCCTACCGGCTGGTACCGCCTACCCTCGTACAGACAAAGGTACGGTCATTCGTGCGGCATGCTATCAGCATTTCCACGACCTGATTGAATCTGTGTACGAGAAATTCGAGACCTCAGCAGATGGCGGAGAGCGTCTAGCATTGGAGGGTCCCGAGTTGCAGGACTACTTGAGAAATCTCTTCACTGAGCGTGTTGGCGTACAGATTTTGGATAACGAGACCGACTTCTTTGCCGCTGGAATAGACAGTTTGCAGGCCATTAATGCCCGTTCGCACCTCATTCGAGAATTAGATCTGGGTAACAATGTCTTGGGCCAGAACGTGGTGTTTGATTACCCAAACATCACGCGACTTACAGAATACCTGGTGTCTCTCAGAACCGGATCCACGATCGTGGAGAAGAAGGAAGAGGAGATCATGGAGGAACTTGTGGCCAAGTACGGCAAGTTTGAGCCATTCAAAGCTGGTAATTCTGTTCCTGAAGGAGAAGTCGTCGTAAGTACCCATTCGTGAAGTCGCGCAAAGGTAACTCCGCTAACGAGGTGATAACAGCTTCTCACCGGAGCAACAGGCTCATTGGGAGCACACATCCTCTCGCAACTTCTTTCCCTTCCGCACATTACCCACGTTTACTGCCTTGTAAGGGCAAGCTCTCCCACTGCCGCGCAAGAGCGAGTACTAGATTCCTTGAATACCCGTGGACTATCGCCTCACCATAGCTCAGCTCATGCTAGAATCATAGCCTCTTTAAGAGAAGGCGGCCTGCCATCAAACCAACACTCAGCCAAGTTCACAGCCCTACCTGCAGATCTGAGCCTGCCTGATCTTGGCTTGGGTTCAACCGTATACGAATCTCTACGTACCACAGTCACATCCGTCATTCACTCTGCATGGGCTGTAAACTTCACCCTCAAAGTCCGGAGCTTTGAAGCGCAGCACATTGCCGGCCTCCGCCACCTTCTAGATCTCTGCCTTTCCGTGCCATTCAGCAGACCTGCCCGCCTCTCGTTCATCTCCTCCATTTCTGCAGCAGCGGGAACACCATCTCCTGGTCGGGTTGCAGAGACATTTGTCCGAGAGTCAGGCCACGCGCAGAACATGGGCTACGCTCGTAGTAAATGGGTGGCTGAACACATTATCAAGGCCGCTGCGTCATCTACCGGGATGGAAGCCCGCGTTCTCCGCTCAGGCCAAATCATTGGTGACTCGGTTATGGGGCTTTGGAACGCCACTGAAGCTATCCCGCTCATGTTCCGTGCGGCTGTTACTTTAGGTGCACTGCCCGCCCTAGATGAGACGCCATCGTGGCTGCCGGTTGACAAGTCCGCTCGGGCAGTCCTGGAGCTGACCAACTTGGCAGAAGGAGGCAGCAAGGTAGAAGGCTATTTCCAGCGACGAGAGGACAATGACGTTGTCTACCACGTCCAGAACCCTCACACATCAGAGTGGACAAAAGACATTCTTCCTGCTCTTGCAGCTGCTGGGCTGGAGTTCGAAATTGTGGGACAACGTGAATGGGTGCAGCGGCTTCGCGACGGTGAACAGGATCCAACGTTGAACCCGACGGTGAAGTTGCTTGACTTCTTTGCCGACAAGTATGACAATGACAAGCCTGGAAGGAGCGGGCTGGTATTTGAGACACAGAAGACTGAAGACAGGAGCCAGGCAATTAGGGGTGGATTTGATGTTGTTAAGAGCGGACTGCTTGCGAAGTGCGTCGAAAACTGGAAAAAGGCCTGGTCATGTGGGGAGTGACACCATGTTATAAATAAAACAATCAGTGCATTTCGGTTAGGCTTTTGTATATTCAATTACGTTTCCTCTCACATCATACCGGTAATCGCATTTGGGTTTTAAAAACTCGAACTGTCTTGGATACACGATATTGGGCGATTCGATCAAAATGTGAATAGTGTTATGACAGTTAAGATTGGTTTACCCGCTCCTAACTTTTCCTTCAAGAGAAGCTCCAATGTTCTACTTGAAATACGTGTAGACTTATAGAGTAACGTTCTCAACTTCAAAAGTCTGAACAGTCCCCGTACTGAAGTATGACCAAAACTTAGTACCGCTGATGTAGGTGTCACTGGAGGCAACGTATCGGTTCCCGCTCGTGAGCTGAGTACTCCAACGCCGTACGAGAGCACCGTTGACCCCTGGCTGGGTGAACTTGGAAAGATCAAAGTTCAAATACTGTGCGCTGTCCCAATTGACCGCCACAATGACCAGCTTTTTGGCGGAGGAATCGTAGGCTGCGACAGTGTTCGAACTGCCGCCATCGAGGATGACCATACCAGGGCGAATGTGACGAGTGAACTGAGCCAAGGCAAAGTACTTTTGGTTGGCAGATCCAATCGTCAGAGCATCGTTGTCAGCGTCGATCACGCCCCATCCTCCGCCGTCCAAGACCTGCCAATATACCCAAGCAGTGGGCTTCAGCCATCTAAAGTCCAACAGGAGATTGCTCACCAGCCGTGTGCCTGAGGCATCGCTCTCGCCGTACTCGCTGTTCCAAAGCTTCTTGCCTGCCGAAGAAGCCAGCGAATGCAGCGTGTCTCGCCTTCCGTCACCGTACTGGTACCCATGCACATTAATGCGGTTGACCTTGCTGAGGGCAGTGGACCCAAGAGAGTTGAACGTTGATACGGCGGCGTCATATGAGGTTTCATCGGATGCGGCAATGAGAGTCCCAGTCAGACCACGGCTATCGAGCTCGCTTCGAAGGTATCCAAGCACCGTTGCCTGTGTGGCAACATTGAAGTGGCACCCTTCCTGTGTCCCTGTTTTTCCATTCCACCAGGAGGCAGACGGCTCATTAAAGGGATCCACGGACTGGAATGTAAGACCCCAGTTCTGGCTCGCGTACTTGGCAATGGCGGCCATGTAGACAGCGTGTTGCTGGTAGTTCCACGACTGAAGATTGTCGCTACTGCCATCATCTGATCCAGAAGGATTATGGTTGTTGCACATCCACCACATGGGCGAATTAGAAAAGAGTTCGAGGATGTTGGCACCTCTAGACTTGGCGTTGCGCAGCATCGTGCGTTGATTGGAGTCTCGAGACCAGTCCCAGCTACTACTGCTTGGATCGGTGCTGGCCCAGTTCAGCCAGTAGCCCTGGATCTGACGCGACTTGATCATTTTAGGAGAAACAACCATGGTACTCCCATTGTAGGTGTTTGTGCTGCAGGCTCCGGCATTGTACCGAGCGATGTTGAAGCCAAGGCCTGGCAATGACTGGCCATTGATCGTCGTAGTGCCCAGAGTGAAGAAGACGTCCGCAAGGTCGGTTCTCGCCCCAAAGGCAGCAGCCCACCAGGCAAGTGACGTTCCCCATCCCTCCCAAGTACCCCAATTGGATTTGGGGTCGATTGTTGTCGTGGTATCAGCAGCTGTCAGTGAGCTGACCACGAGAGCCAGCAAAATCGCACGGACACGGCGAATCATGGCGGTTGTCTGAATAGTAATTGCAAGCTTCACTCAGGTGTCCTCACATTTCAAAGTGATTACTCGGCAAAAGACTCGGGCCTGCCCTGAACTTATACTTGCTATTCATCCTATGCCGGGAGTTTATCCAGAGCCTAGGCCTAGACTGCCGCCGTATCCGTCTATGGTCGCAACGGCCTTGGAAGATTATCCGCGCCAATACGTGACGACGTGACTGTCTCGATAGTGTTAAATCTATGCGTGTGGTGATGTTGTAACTTCCTTCTTGGTTAGGACGGAATATCGGGTGACAGCATCATGCCGCTTCAATCAGGATTGCGAACGCGAAGCCAAAACGTATATGAAATGAGACGCACCGCGGTTCTACATGGAGGCTCGACTCCGCGTTCCCAAAATGTACTAGAATAGTGTTCTTGCCGATTTCAATACTACGTGATGTGTGACCAAGTGAGGGGCCAAGGTGGCATGCGACTGACACTGATATTAACATCTCAGCTAGAACCTCCAGCGTTTGGTATCGACACATTATTCAAATAATTAAACCATTCATATGCACAATATTGACTGCTTTCCTATCATTATATTGATTATCACTAATCAAAATACTTGGTCCTTATCTTTCGTGAAAGGGGCTCTGGTGTGTGCCATGTCTATTTGAGCTACTTAGGTGGAAAAGGATAATCACAATCACCCGATCCTATTCTAGCAACTCGGAGCAATCTCTCGTGTCAATGCAACGCCAAATATGTGACCGGATGTGATTCAAAGCGGCCGATGATCCAAGTTCAACTTCATATTATGATGTCCCCGGGTGCTCTTGGGGTGGCAATCAAAATGTTAAACATTCTCACCCTAGAAGCATCTGTTTCAGATTTGATTTTGCTATATCATTCTCTATTGACGGTTCTAGAAATCTAATCCCATTATGCAGTTTCATTCCCAAGTTACAGCCGGGCCCTGTCGCCTTCTGAACCAGATTCATCAAAGACAATCTTTTCCCCCGTAATCATCGACTTTTGCAATGCTGCACCTATCCGTACTGCTGTGACCGCCGATTCCAACTTGACAGGCACCGGGGTATCATTCAACACAGAATCCGTAAACTCAATGGCCTCTGTTGTGAAAGCTGCGCGGAATCTACCCCAATAGTTCTGAGGCAGCTCATGTCGGATCCCTCCTGGCTGATAGATTCGCACATGGTTCTCTGTCGGAACCATGTTCACCGTCAGCTTTCCCTTGGTGCCGATGATCTCTGTTGCGTCCTCTTGACCAGCAGCCATCATGCGGGAGGCATAGAGGTAAGCGATCCGGCCATCGTTAAACTCCACTACGCCAACCGCATTGTCGCGGTCGTTATACTTGCGCAGATCCGGCTCGACCGCTGTGATTCCTACTGCATGTACTGACCGGACTTTAGCATCCTCCCCAAAGAACCACAACGCCAGGTCGATGTCGTGGATACTGCAGTCGACGAAGATTCCACCCGAGAACTCAGCGTATGCAACGAAAAAGCCGGACGGGTCCAGAACATCGCAGGTCTGACTTCGAAGCACAGATGGCCGCCCAATCATTCCTGATTGCATCTTTGAGTAAGCATCCCGGTATGAGGCGTCAAACCGACGGGAAAAGCCACACATGACTTTCAAGTCTGGCCGAGCAGCTGCAGCATCGACGACGGTTTGAGACTGCAGAGTGTAAGTAGATGCTCGATTTCTCATCAGTACAATTCAGCAGATTTTCAAACACTTACAATGTCAACTGAGATGCCAAGCGGCTTCTCGCACAGGACATGCTTCCCTGCCGCAATCGCAGCAATAGCTTGCTCGGCATGTACTGCAGTGGCAGAGGCAACGCAAACGGCGCTGAGGCCCTGGTGTGATAAGAGGTCTGCATATTTTTCGTACACAGTCACGCCGTGGGGAGCGAGATTTTCCTTTGCCCATTGACGTTCATCAGCGTCCGGGGTGCTGACGGCGACCAACGATGCACGTGGGACGTTTTGAAGAAAATTGAGGGCGTGCCTTTTGCCCATCCGACCGAGGCCTGCGACGCCTATTTGAAGTTTTACGGCCGCCATGTTGAATAATTGTATGATAAGAGAGTGTCGCAAAGGAGATGGATGGCTGCCCCAGCAAACAGTCTCCCACGGGGTTTGTAGGAATATATAGATGCCAACTCATGTTCCAATTTGTGCAATGTGCACAACTTAATCGTATGCGAGTTTTGTCCATCGACAACGTTACTAAAATCTCATTGCTCTGATTCGTGCCGATCACTCCAAGGTATTCGGGGTTTTTTGCCAAAAGTTTGTCGGGGCAAAACACCCCGATTCATCACCCTGAAAGCTCAAGAGTTTGCAAGGCTTTGATTGGCTCAGTATACTGTACTTCGGGGCCTTGTGGAGAAGAGTGGTTCTCAGCCCTCAAATCGCAGCGCTTTTCGATACAGGGGAAATAACCAAAGTTGCGGAGAAGTTGCTCAGAAATCGGAATACCCACGCACAGTGACGCATTCCCGGCCACATCCCCGTACATGGTGAGGCTAAGACCTCCACAGCGAGATGAGGGGTTTTCCGAAGCTCTTAGATTCGCTGGTTTTGCGCCTCCTCGGAAGATTATTCCGATCAACCTTCATGAGCGCAGCTCCCCTAATCACGGTCATGGTTAAAGTCCGCCTTCCGTAACAAAATGAAGAAAACGGACAAGAGGGAGGGCGAAGAAAGCAGAAAACAAAGGAAACCTTTGGATGGTTTTTGACACTCTCTATCTCAAAACATAAACGTAACTATCCATACTCTCCAAACTCTAGCCAACTCTATATACAGTAGAATGAATCGCAAATCCTCCTATTAAGGTGTTACCCGGGCAGCAGCTTACATGCCTCTCCAAGTATTTCTGGCTTTGGTGTGGTAGTGCCTCGGCGAAATCTGTGGCATCTCAGGCTTCAATAGAGAATAGCTACGACCAAGTCTGAGTGACTGATCTGAGCATAGCACTGTCAAGGTTTTGCAACACGGGATATCGCATAATATTACGTTCGAGATTCCTATTGAATTTTGGCCAACTGTGTTTGGGTAGTTTGGTATCATGTCTCTTCCCAGCCCCATGCTCTTTTCAAATGTGCCTGCGCTGCCGCCGTGGGCCAGGAATGTTTCGTCTCGGTCAATATCAACACATTAAGAAGCGCATCTTGATCCCTCTTATCAGTAAACCGATCGCCACAGGCAGTAACGCCCATACAAGCTGTGAACATGGCTGGTCTCGTGGCGACATTCGACAGAGCTATTCCACATAGTTCTCGCAACTGCATCCGTATATCATCCTTTACCAGTTAGGTGGGCGCTGAAAAGTGAAACTTGGCTTGGAGTGTGGGCTTACATCAATTTTTTTTCGGGATATTCGCGCTGATGGTCCTACCCGCGGACCACGGTCGTCGTGACACATGAGTAGCAAACGCGCATATATACCATGAGCAATACCAATTACTGCGGAACAGTCAGCAAGATTCCCACAGTACCTTAAGTCTTTCCAACTCACCAACGGCATGGCAAACATATAAGATGTTGGGAAACACTTCATTGTGTGATTCAAGTGGCTCACTATAAGCTATCGGCAGCCACGACACCGGCCGAGCCCTCAACCAGCCTTGGTCATAGTCCACGAGCGCTTGATATTCTGCCATGCTGCGATCCCCATTTCCAAAGCAGTAATTCATGACTTCTGCGCAATGTACGATGATGCGGTTCGCCCAAGTATCGTCGTCGGCCGGGGAAAAGGACCGGTCGATGAAGGCGTGGTCAAGCTTGATCTTGACTGGTCTTTGTGTAGCAGAACTCATTGTTATTTCTTGTCTCAGGCCAATCCAAAACGATGCTTGCCGAAGGCTACTTGGAGGCGATGTCGAATTTGGTGTATTCATGAACAGTTGTATCCCAAGAAGATGACCCTCAAGGTCAGTACCAAGGAGTGGAACATCAAGCTCCTCCAGCGTGCGGAGGAGAATGGTGGCAGCTAGTAAATCATCGTTTGCGAGGTCTGTCGAGTCCCCAGATATGGTCGACAGGTGTTTGAGGCATTCTTGATGGTATCGATCGGATGCATATGGATCATATCCTCCGTTTAGGCTAAGATGTCTCGATGACAAAGCGAAGATGGCGTTGAGAAGCGTCGGGCTGTTAGCTGCCCTATAAGGCACGATGTTGGCGAAATGGCTACGGCAATCGCAGAGATCAAACTAAATCACTCAGCCTGGTGTTCGCCGATTCTCCAGGACGTAAGAGACCTACCCAAGTGCACATGTACTCCAAGTAGTACTTCATCAAACGCACTTCGTGCGGCTTTGTAAGGGGTATTGAGACAGATTCAGAGGCTAATCCCAGTAATGAATTTTGCGGAATAAGGCCATATTCTCTGTAAAGTTCGGTTCGTGGTAGAGCGTCATATGAGGTTGAAGCGGGCAAGGGAGAATCGTGTATCGAGTTATTTATGGGGTCGGAAATTATCTCAGACGGTTCTGCGTCGTTGACTTCTATCGTTCCTTCGGAGGAATGGTCTGGCTCTTCGTAATCGCCTTGTAATAGGGTGTTGGATCCTGAGACATAGTGACTCTCAATGTCCGGTGTTTCATCAACAAACCGTACTTGTTCTCCGTCAGTTACACTTATCAAATATGGGAATTCTCTACATCAGCATATACTCACACCGCCTCGGGCAGCGGACCCACGACTGTTCTCTGCCGAATGGCCTGCGTTATTGCATTGCTCAGTTAATATCGATCTGCCGTATTTCTTGATTGAGCACAAGGCAAGCTTACCCGCTCGAATGCTTAAAACGGAAGGCCGGGGAGATTGTGCAAACCCTTCCTACGGAAACACATCGGAGGCATGTTCTGGATCGCCCCTCCAGTTTCTCCGGACTCCAAACACACTTCAGATGCTGCTCTCTACAGGTCTAGAACCTTGTCAGAAAGGGGAAGCCGGGTGAGGGATATTGCCTAGGAGGGACTTACCAGGCATGCATTCGACGTGCCGGGTCTGTTCATTCTGCCTCGCCTGTGGCCTTGTTTGACTGGAGTTTTGTGCCGGGTTATATTCCACTTTGCTGTGATTGATGCATGAATGAGGGAAAAGGTCCGACTCTCGGGGCAACGCTCTAGTTTTATCCAGCCAAGGGCAAAACCCCCGATTCAACTTGGTTAAGTCTGCTTGTGACTCTCCACTTTTAGCTGTGAAACTGCGTGTGATTCGCTTCCCCGGACTGGAGGAGATGTCATTAGTGTGACCTTGCTGACTCGGTTAAGTCACTTGAAGTACCCCAGACCCCGTTCTACCCCATGATATGGGGAAGACGCAGAATAATTCCTTCACCTCTATTGGCCGTAATGAAACATTGTCGGCGAAGAGCCATATAATTGGAGTGATCGATTGTCGCGCAAGGCTCAAGACTCGGACTATATAAGACTCACATTGTCTCCTCTTCCCACAGCCTCATCTCTCTCACCACTCATCCCTGACTAAACTCCAAGTACCTTGAAAAGTTTTACAAGCGCTATCGCCATCATCACTTGCATCATGGGCAAGAAAGCTGAGCCAGCTGCCGAGTCTAAGCTCGACGAATATGGCGTCAAGACAGAAGAACATGCCGGCATGAGCCTGCCAATTGAGCCCTACGGCCCGTCTGGTATGAAATTGCCTCCTGATGCCCTGTCTGTCTGTTCTTGAAAATTAACCCACTGTCAGGTTTCCGTGGACTGTTCTCCTCGCCTTATGTTGCGATGTGTGCCGCGTTCTCAGCCATCGGGGGGCTTCTCTTTGGCTATGACCAGGGCGTCATCAGTGTCACCCTGGTGATGGAACACTTTCTCAATCGATTCCCCGAAGTCTCCGACAATGCACCCGGTGCAGGCTTCAAAAAAGGTCTCATGACGGCTATGATAACACTGGGAGCATTCATCGGAGCTATTAATCAAGGATGGATTGCGGATTGGATTTCCAGGAAACGATCGCTCATGGTTGCCGTGGTGGTGTTCGTGATCGGCTCTGCCCTTCAGACCGCTGCTGTCAGCTATGCCATGCTCGTCGTTGGCCGATTTATTGGCGGTATCGGCATTGGACAGTGAGTTTCCCTCGTGAACCTTCCTGAGTTTTGTTTTTAGCTGACGGTGGTTGATGTACAGGCTTTCGATGGTGGTTCCGCTTTACATTTCGGAGATCTCACCCCCGGAGATCCGTGGCTCGTTGCTCGTGTTCGAAGAGCTGTCCATCGTATTCGGTATTGTGGTGGCTTTCTGGATCACATATGGCACGAAAGACATGCCTAGTAACTGGTCCTGGCAGCTACCCTTTCTCTTGCAAATTCTTCCCGGTCTACTGCTCGGATTCGGCGCTGTGTTTCTCCCTTATTCACCCCGATGGCTCGCTTCCAAGGATCGTGAAGAAGAAGCCTTATCCAACCTGGCCAAGCTGCGAGGGTTACCCGAAACTGACAGCCGCGTCCAACGTGAGTGGATGGACATCATTGCTGAGGCTAGATTCCAGGCCAGCGTTCTGCGAGAGCGTCATCCCCAGCTTACATCCAGGACCGATGCTACTTCGAGAATCAAGCTGGAGTTTGTTAGCTGGACAGATTGTCTGAAGCCTGGCTGTTGGAGGCGCACACTGGTCGGAGCAGGAATCATGTTCTTTCAGCAGTTTGTGGGCATCAATGCGCTGATTTACTATTCACCAACTCTCTTCGGTACGATGGGTCTCGATTACAACATGCAGCTCATCATGTCCGGCGTCCTTAATGTTACGCAGTTGATAGGTGTTTTCAGCAGCCTCTGGACACTGGATCGGTTCGGGCGCAGGTCTATTTTGCTCATCGGCAGTTTCCTAATGTTTGTCCCGCATTTGATTATTGCCATTCTAGTTGGAAAGTATTCCAAGGATTGGCCCAATCATACTGCAGAGGGATGGACGAGCGTCGCCTTCTTGCTCTTTTACATGCTTGCCTTTGGTGCTTCGTGGGGCCCTGTTCCTTGGGCGATGCCTGCCGAGGTCTTCCCTTCAAGCTTGCGAGCGAAAGGTGTTGCGATTTCTACATGCTCAAGTAAGTCTCCATGAATATATTTGCCTCTCTGGTCTCCTCTTTGGCTTCTGCTGACATCCATCTCAGACTGGATCAACAACTTCATCATTGGGCTCATTACGCCTCCTCTGGTTCAGCAGACAGGTTTCGGTGCCTATGTGTTCTTTGCAGTGTTTTGTCTACTTTCGTTCGTCTGGGTTTGGTTTTGTGTTCCAGAGACTAATGGAAAGACTTTGGAGCAAATGGATGAAGTCTTCAATGATCGAAGCGGTGTGGATGATACAGCGAAGAAGGATCGTATTCTACGGGAGGTATATGATGCAAGACTTGGGCACCAGGAGGCATAGAGTTTTGTCGGGTCTAAGTTGTAAAGGTCCTTGACCTCCGTCATACTTATCTCTCGCAACTTGTTGTCACATAACATATCTCGCGAGATATCAGATATATATTTCACTTTTGTGAATAGCTCTATGATGTTGTATCCCATTAGAGTGTGCACTGTTGCTTAAGTTATTTTCTGTTGTTTATGCCCATCGTTGAAACGGAAATTCTCTTCTCAAGGACAAATTTACTCCTGGAATGGGGAACTGCTTTACCTACCTTTTTCTCATTGGGATACGAAAAAAAACCCGGGTCCAGGGATGTCAACCCGTATTCCACGTGCTCCTATTGACCATATCTCCTCGTTTGGCTCGAGAAGTCTCTGATGTGAGTCTAGAGATGTCTAAGAACGCATTGCTGGCTTTCTGAGAATCTGAATTGCTTGACCATTAGAAAAAATCTGCCTACCGACCTTTAGTTAGAAAAGTATAGACAAGGCAATAGGTTTGCAACAGGTGGTCCAATTGCTTGTTGCTGAAATCGCATTATCTCGTACAATGCTACAGGGTAGGTGTCTCTTTGACGGGGCTGGTGCACAGTTGAATTTCAGAAGCTACCCATTGGCTAAGTTGAATCTGTCATCTTGGACCTTTTGCCCGTGGAAAACTCCTGGATGGTAAGCACCTGCCAAGATGGGACCGGGGAAATTGACCGGGATAGCCGATTATGCCGATCAAGTGTTGGGCAGCTAGGCTAATGCAAGTGTAGCCACAACGCTTGTCAAAGTAATGCAAGTTTGAAGATCGAGATTCCTTCGTGGGTTTGAGCGTAGATCTTTCTCTCACCTGTTTGGCTTTGGTAGCATTTCTGATGAGAAGCCTTGTCAAATTCTCGTCTGTGGGGATACATGAAGACATTGCTGAGGAGCTTTACGGTTGACTTGCCACCGGGAGCAAGGATTAGAGAATCCGAAATTCATAAATTCCGGCTATCGCCTCTACTCCGTACACGGTAAGTTTGCATTGGCAGTGATTTCTTTCAGCTCATCCTTCAACACGCGAATGGAACGAAGGATCATAGCAGGCCTCTATGCTAAAAGGAGTTAGGTTAAGGAGACGCAAAACGCGCCATGATTCGTGAAGCAGGGAACAATTCCAATGCATTTTTCCGGATCAGGGGTATTTGACACTACTCACGGTGCACCAGAGGTCTAGTGTAGGCTAACTGCCAAATCCTTGTTAGTCCTCAGCTTGGAACCATCAGGAGGAATCATCTACGACGTCTCTTACTTGTCGGCTAGGCCGCTAGGAGAAGAACGATGGGGAATTTGGCTTGGCTAAAAAAAGTAGATCTTCCAAACCCTGCTCCATAATATATTAATAAATGTGTCAAGTCTTCAGCCGCGCTCCCGTCAGTTCTCACATCTCCTTTCGCTGTGACCAACGGCGCGATGGCGGGGCAGGAGTCGTATGAGGCATTCCGGGTCCGCTTCGATGGCGCGGCTATCTCGACATATGTCTTGCTCATGTTAGTCGTTCCCATGAAGATTTGGTGCAGAACGCAGGTGAGCGGCTGGAAAAGCATTGGATGGGACGACTGGCTCTCCGTTGCCACTTTGGCTTTCGCCAATGTCTGGTTTTGGGATAACATGATCGGTAAGAGAGGCGACCTTTGTGCTTTTTGAGCTGAAGACTACGTCTCGTGCAGACCAGTTCAATTGATTGTTCAAGCTATTTAGGTGTACGACCCTACCTCGGGAGACATGTTGGAACCGGCGAATCGGAAGTCAACCCAGAACAATTGGAATACTTCCTCAAGTGTCTATACGTTGCATCGATATCATACGTGGTGACCATCGGATTCATAAAACTTACGATATTGGCTTTCTACTGGAAACTCTTCTCTGTCGCAGCAAGATGGCCGATTCGAATCCTGGCTGCGTCTGTCGTGGCATGGCTCATCGCTTTCGTAAGCATGCCATATCCCATTCTGGTATACAACCGAAATCTCTAACATGTGTCCCCTTCAGGTCTATCTTGGAGCGTTCGGCTGTCTGCCCATCCGCGCGCAATGGGATGTAACGGCAATGGCGACTGCAAAATGTGTACCACCAAAGTCCATCTATCTCGGCGCATCACTACCGAATGTCATAACGGATCTCATCCTTGTGTTGATGCCAATCCCATACGTCTGGAGGCTGAATATTGCTCTTCAACAGCGCCTCATCCTTGCCGGCCTCTTCATGCTGGGCCTGTTCATTTGCATCGTCTCCATTATCCGACTGACGATCGTCATGTCAATCGCCACCAGCGACCACGACACTACATACAACCTCAAAGACTTTATGCTTTGGTCTATCGTCGAGGTGAACATCGGGCTCGTTTGTTCTTGCCTGCCTAGTATGCGACATATTCTCAAGGCAATTGGGCTGGCTCGTTTCTTTTCGCTATCTTACGGCCCGAATGGGCAGAATACGCCTGGCAGACATCCCAACAGCGACCCGACGGGCGTGCATACGGGCTCCAGCGGTGGTCGCGTCCTCCGGTCCAGGCAAAATGCCTCTAATAACAGCGGGTTATGGTGGGGGAACACGGGTCTCAGCAGGATAGACAGCGATGAAGATGCCTACCAGATGATGGATCACGTAGCGGGCGCCAATGTGAGCGCTGCCGCCGCGGAGAGTGGACAACAGTCTGGTCAAGAGACCGATCAGGGATCGACCGAGGAAGGAAGAGATGGCTCAAAGAATGGTGGAATTGTTGTACATCAAAGCTGGAGTGTCATGACTGATGGGAAAGGTTCTTGAAAAAAGTGTATTTTGGTATCCAACATATTGCATATTTACTAGGGGCGCATTATAATGTTCTTCTCTGCCATCTGAGGAATGAAAATGATAAATGATTTTAATTTCTTTTAGTCTATTGCATTTATTTTATTTTTTTAATTCCCCGCCAAGCTCAGAATTTCACGCTCAATTGCCTCTCCCAACGCCTGAGTTGTTCCCGTTCCACCCATATCAGGGGTCAAAACCGAAGCTTCAGAACGCTCCAATATCCTCTCAATGGCCTTCAGTAAAGCGTCTGCGGCTTCTATATATCCGAAGTGCTGGAGAAGCATCTGGCCAGCCCAAATCATTCCAATTGGGTTGGCCAAGTTCTTGCCCACAATGTCCGGCGCGCTTCCATGCACAGGCTCAAATAAACTAGGGAACTTGCCCTCGGGATTGATATTGGCAGAGGGCGCGATGGCAATAGTACCAGTGCAAGCTGGTCCTAGGTCGGATAGGATATCGCCAAACAGATTGCTGCCGACAATGACGTCGAAGATTTCCGGCCTCCCAACAAAGTGTGCCGTGAGAATATCAATGTGATACTTGTCTAGGTTGATTTCTGGGTAGCTCTTATGCATCTCGCTGACCCGGCCATCCCAGTATGGCATGGTGATGCTGATTCCATTGCTCTTGGTCGCGCTTGTCAGCCTTTTTCTCGGTCGACTCTTAGCCAGCTCAAAGGCGTAGCGAAGAATGCGGTCAACGCCGACCCTCGACATAACCGTCTCCTGGATAACAACCTCTCGGTCTGTTCCCTCAAACATCTTTCCGCCGATGGAGCTATATTCACCCTCTGTGTTCTCGCGAACGATCCAGAAGTCAATATCGCCGGGCTTCTTGCCGGCGAGAGGGCATTTCACCCCGGGCATCAGACGACATGGCCGGAGGTTCACATATTGATCGAATTCTCGTCTGAACTTGAGCAGACTGCCCCAGAGCGACACATCGTCAGGCACAAGGTTAGGCATTCCGACGGCGCCAAAATAGATGGCATCAAAACTGATGAGCTGCTCTTTCCAGTTGGATGGCATCATATCTCCGTGTTTCTGGTAGTATTCGCAGCTTGCAAAGTCAAAGTGCTCAAATTCTATTGCGATGTTGAAAACTTTGGCCGTTGCTTGGAGGCACTTGACACCCCATGGCATGACCTCGGTGCCAATGCCGTCACCAGGGATGACGGCAACTCGAAGGGTTTTAGAAGACATATTGAATGGCCGGATAATGAAGCTGTATCGAATAACGACAATGGGATGATCTGCTGTTAAAGTGACCGAAATGTTTAGATAAATAAGTACAGGGCCACCGAGATCGCTAGGCACGGTTTCATCATCGGCTAAACATATAAGCGCATTTCGACAACGGAAGCTGATGTGAGTCGTCACGTGCAAACCCCGCTGCGGTTGAAAGATTGACCGCCGAGTCGTGACGTCGGAAATATCTACCGACATCGGCTTCCCTATGTTGATGGCAGTTCAATCTCGATAATCCCCAGGGCGATTTACAACAGCAAGCCTCAGTGTCCTTCAGTAGTTATACCCGAGTGGATCTTTGATTCCAGAATGCCTCCGATTCGAGGCAAAGCAGCATGTATCGCTTGTCGCTCGCGAAAGCAAAAGGTTAGCTAAAATCTTCATTACCCTCACTCATCACCGAAACTTAGCTAACCCAAGCCTCGGGCAGTGTAATGAAAAGAGGTGAGAGACTATAATATGTACTGGCACTGCCCTTTAAATTTGTATTGACGTGACGAGACCCGAATGCTCCCGGTGTCAAGCGCTTGGCATCAAATGCACCTGGCCCACAGCCCGCAGACGGTTAGTTGAAGTCATACATTACAAACAAAAGTAAATTTTTGACACTTTCTTGTCAGAGGTCCCGCAAAGGGATATACCGAAGCACTTGAACGTCGACTGGGGGATACAGAGTTAGCTTTGCTTCAACTCTTGCTCGTTTCCAATCCAGAAACGATTGAAAGTGCCTTCGAATCAGACACGCTTGAATTGGCACAGTCCATCTGGGCTGACCGCCGGGCAAAAGCCGAATCTGGGGAGGGCCTTCTCGAGGGCGAACGGGCAGAGGCATCATTAATGGCACAGTGGGATAATACATCTCTGAAAACTGCCGACGGGATCAACGAGTGGGTCAACAGGATGAGGGATGGTGAGCCGGAAACATCTGCCAATATCTCAGCAGACTTCAGGAAGAGCCAGCCATTATCTGTTGGCGGGCAAACTCTAGGGAAACTTCCACCTACTGCAAGCCATCCAAACGGGGACGAGACTCGTAGACCAGTTGAAGTCTGCGCACTGCGACAGATTGGCGTCCCAATATCGCATAATTCAGTTTCGTTTAGATCAGACAAGAGAGATCATCCGGAAGAGATTGTGGACAAACCTCCGGGTAATAGAGACGGCGGATCTGGTGTTCGCGGAAAGATAGATATTCCTGCTGAGTTTCAAAGCCAATTTTTGTGGTAGAAACTAGATGTGCAGAGCAAAACAAGCAAGGAAATGATATCGTGCCAGGGAATTCCCTCACTTATCACGCCAGCTAACTCCATACTTTTATAATCCACCACCAGAGCGGCATAATTCAAATAGAGCCGCTAAATAGCGTGCTATAATCAAGATTAAGAATCTCGTTCATCAAATCTTGGCCTTCGCCAAATTCATCAGGCAGTGATGTGTCGAAGCCAAAATCAGGTCCTATGTACTGTGGAACTGCAAGTGAATTAGGAGATATTTGGAAAGTTGATTCGGTCGTGTAGATGCTCGCGGCCCACTGTGCATCTTGCTGGGGGAGTGATCGAGCAGGTTCTCCTGGTTCTTCAACCCGCTGTCTCTTGGAAACCCTCGGGGTCGACGAGACGCTAGGATCCCTTCTTCTGCTTGGTGTAACGTGACTATGGATTCGCGGGCTTCGTGGTAGTGGATAAGACTGAGAATGCAACATGTTGGGCGTCTCATACTTGGTGATAAGCTTTCGAGAGAGAAGATTGAGGGCAGCGTGGCATTGACGCGCGCTGGACCATTTCTTTGCCATTCGATCTAAGATAGCATGACACCATTCAAGTTCACTACGATGTGATAGTTAGAAAAAAATATCTCGATATCATAGGGGCTAAATTTTAATACCATACCACTTAGATTTGGAAAAGGGGTATTGATCCAGTAGGGTGGCGAAAGATACCACAAGGCCGGCGGTCCAGACAGCGGATAATGACGTGGGCCACGATAAGAATAACCCGTTTTCCAAGTGCTGATTTACGTCCATAAGAAGCGAGTGGCTAGCGTTGATGGCTGCTTGAAGGCTACATTTGAATTCGAATCTTTCTCTTGGCAGTGAGAGGAAGGGGCGGTTGAGAAGAAGTAGACTGTGGTTATACAAAGTAGTGAAAAACACGTGGTAGCGTGATGTAAGATCGTTTGTTTCTCCAGGTGAGCTATCTTGAATGGAAAGAGGTAGTCTGTTCCACCAGGAATGGACGCGGCACGTAATCTCCTGTACACTGTCGAGGTCAACCGAACGGGTATGGATAGAATTGTGAAAGAGATTGAGTATTGTCCCAAGAAGCTGTGCGTGGGTTGCTATTAGCCCTAAGATTGTTTCTTGCTTCTCACCGCCTAATGTTGGCTGTCCTTCAGAAGAATCACGAACTCCTGGCTCGGTCGGAGATCCGCCAAATGACGATTCGACAGCCAAGCCTGTGAGATGCTCGCGCTCTTGTCGCTGGTTTTGGGGAAGATGGGCCAAGACCAATTCAGGGCTATCGTCCCCGGGAGTATCCGCCGGCTGGTTAACTGGGACAGGGCGGTGAAGCTCTGGCATGCCGGGCACGCAAACATCTACATCTATGTCGTTGAAGCTGAGGGGATGTCCTAATGCTTGTCCAAGATGTCTGTCGAAGATGTAGGCACACCAAAAGATGCGCTTCCGTATGCCCCTCACTGGCTCTGGTAGTTGCAGGTAACGGAAGGGGCACCTGTGGATTCCGGCGTGATACATCATGCGTGTAAGGGCACCATGAACCGTGGATGCGGCTCGAAGGGACATGATGGTGATCATGTAGAGCTCTGCGGCCAGTAGAGCCTGAAGACTGAGGATATCTGGACTGTTGTAGAGAGAGCCAAGAAGCTGCAGTAGGCCTTGGGTTGACTGGATGCGACAAGCTTGGTCAAGCTGAAGCCCAGGTGTAGTTGCTGCAATGCCAAAGACACATTGGACAGTAACCATCCGGCAAAGGTCCTCCTGTGGACGAGGCCCTTTGGACAAGAAGGAAACAGACTCGCCCTCCACACCGCCGTATGCCTTGTTCACTTCTTCGAGAAACGTGGGTCCATGAAGGAAGGGAAAGACAGGATGCCAATGTCGAAAATAAGCCATTGTAAGCTCCTTTGACATGCGGGGTGTAGGGAGCATTCCCAAGGCCGAAAACCCACTGGACTGGGTGACCTGGCCGGAGTGTGTCACATCTTGCTGGGACGACTCTGTCTCTGAACCCGCTAGATAGGTATGCGCCGGCTCTGGGGCAGGTAATTTGTTTGGAAGATCTTTGCTGCCGCCGACTTCCCGGGATGTTGGGAGATCTGAGAACGCTTTGAAAACAGTGTTGGCAAAGAAGACTCCGCTGGCGCTGCCAATGAACTCACTCCGGCACGCGCCGAGAGCTACAAAGCTGCCAATCTCAGTTGGCGGGATGGACCTCGAGTGGTTATTGAGTGCATTGTGCTGAGACATTTCAAAGGGCTAACCAAGACATGTCACATGATGCGATAACACCGACGAGATGCTTGGAACGGAGGTCGCGTGGAAGCCTCATTTGAGAGCCGTCAATAATAACCGAAACCGGACTCCAGCCGAGTGCTTACGTGAGCACTCCCGACCGACCGACAGCCGACTGATTTTACCTACCCTATATCTTCAGTCGAATTAATTCATGTTGTCCCAAGTTTGAGAATAGATGTCTTCAATTTCATTCATATATTGCCTAATGAGCTTATTTATAGTGATACACTATTCATTCTGTTGAATTTCCAGGTCTGGTATCTTCTATTGCTGCTAAACTTGTACTCAAACTCTCTTCTATATTGTCTTCATAAGATTTGGTGTCTTTGCTCGCAATTAGACTTTAGGAATCATGTGAGATGATGTAAAGACAGATAACGTTGAGGAGTTATGTTCGTAGTTCTCTTTACACTCCTATTCAATAAAAAGAAAAAGAAGAATTCTAATTCACAGTCGCATCGCACTGTGTTTAAACAATATAGCTATCATCGTTTAGAAACCAACTCAGGTCAATGCTTGCATCTTGGCCCATCGAACTGACGCTATTCTTGTGTCCCGTCGGACGCATCTTGAGCGATTGATGTCTTTCCAGATGTCTAGTTAAGCTTGGCGCTCTGGTCCGTTTCTTCCCAGTTGCGCCTCCGCGTCCTTGTATGCCCCATTTCCGCTGAAGCATGGCCAGGAAATCGCGCGCTTTCTTGGCCGTCTCCCATGACGAGCTGAAACAATCTAGGGCACGTAGACAAGCGTTGAGATGACATGCTGTATCGTGAGGGGATAGTGTCGTGTTGTTACTGATAGAGGCAAAGATGAGAAGGGAGGCGGCAGAACAAGTGATACCAACGCCGTGGATATTCATCCTCTTGAATGAGTACTGAAGCTCGTAGATGTATAAAAGTTTTCCAATGGTGGCGGCAGATTCGATGCACATCATACGAGCATGCTCGCAGCCGGGGCCTTTTGGAGGGTTCGGCTGGCCAAGTCTGGACATCCATGGCCTATGCGCATGGATCATGTTTTGGTAATATTGCATGCTGCCGACCTGTGTCAGAACGTACGCAGACTAAGGTAGCTGGAGATTGAATGGGCCTTACTGGAGAAAGAGGACATGTGGTAGATATGGCCTCTTGACGTTTTCCAAGTCAACTTGAAGCTCCTGAGGAAGGTTGTTCTTCCAATTTAAAAGGTCATTGACGGCCTTCATGTTCATTTCTTGCAGCACTGTTGGCGGTATAGTCCGGCAGCCATATCTGCATGGCTTAATTAAATATGTTTTCAGAAGGAGGTAGAAGTCTCTCCAACTTACAATGCATATCCTAGTGGAGCCATGATCTCGCACAATGATATCCGCTCACGGCTTATGATTTCAGTATAATCAGCCAAGGAAAGACCCTCGTTTCCGGGCTGTGCGGAGCAGTACTGAACCCAGATGTGGGGAGAGCTGATATTTGCGATTTCTTTCGGTTTGTCGACTGTGACATCTTCCATGTTCGTTCGGAATGGTCGCCCTAATAAAAGTCCCCACAAGCTGTAAGGGCATTCTGTTAGCAACATCATTTCATTGTGTTGTCGAGCATAGTGGAGTAGACTGACTGGTCGGCAATATAAGCACCCCAGAACGCAGTCCGTCGAATCTCGGCCTCTTCTGGTTTCAAGATGCCCCTTTCTACGTAGGCTGTCATGTCCATATGCAAGGCCAGGTGAAAGGCCAGCCGCATTGCCATTCCTGCATTGAAGTTAGAAACATGACTTTGTCCCCGTATAGCTAGGTAAACACAAACCACTATAGAGCCAGCCACGAGCATCCCGCTTGCACCCGATATCGTGCCCGCTGATGACAACCATTGCCTGGACAGTGGCAACACTGGGACAGTCCAACTCGATTTCGATTAGTGTTTTCGCCCTATCAGCAAAGAAATCGGCTAGGGATCTTGGGAAGGTGACGAAAGATGGGTGATAGCGAGGCTCGAACGCTGCACCTAGTGCACAGCTAGAATTCAGTAAGCATTGATCAAAAATAGTAGCTAATAGTTCAAAAAAGGTCTCGAGGGAGTGATCTTACATTGCATTGCACAAGGATTCAGAGTAGTATGGCGTTTCTTCTTCCCCCTCTCTCCAGCGTCGCTTCGCATCAGCGTACATGGTTTGATCGACTACATGGAGTGAAGGATCCTGCCAAGCGAAATATAAATCCGTAAGGTGCCGCTCGAGCTCAGCAGGGACTTCCTTCTCAAGGCCCAAGCGCTCAAGGTAGTCAGAGCCGTCATAGCGTACAGTCCTGTGAACGGTGAGGTTGTCTGGGGCTGGCATATCAACAAGGTTGAAGTTTGATGTTGGCCCATAGAATCGCGTTTGTCCATCTGGACTGATCTGTAGAGTTCCCACGCGATCGGAAAGCTGATCCACGAGGGCTTCCGTCGCATCGATCTCGCTCGAGGCCCCGTCCGATAAAGATGGACAGCTGACATCTGGGACGAAAGCAGACTGCTCATACAAGGTGAGGGGGTTATGACATTGAAGATATGCTTCCGGGCTGAGGTTGAATAGATCTGGAGCGCTTATTGCCGTCTCTGCATCTATGCTGCACCAGTCGCCAGATTGAAGATCACCCATCGCCTGTTCAACAGCCATCGCAGGAGGCGAAGTGTTAAGGTTCGTAACGGCGTTTGTTGAGGTGCCCATGTTCAATGTC